TTCTCGGAAGCCCTCTGCATTTTCACAATGTGATTCTCTTAGTTCTTGGAGAACAGTTTGTAAATTAGCTGTCTCGTCAGCTATATCGTTAGCTGCCAGTAACGCTTCCAAGTCCGAGAGGCTAGTCATGCATTCTTCATTCATTTTTTCTTCTTGTAAAATCAACTGTTGAGACAGTAGAGCTTATTTGTATTTGGACTTAGGCATTGTGACTCACTCATTAGTGTATTTTATGTCCTGCATAGAAAAAGGAAACTTTTAGAATTTGTCAAGGAGCTACTTTGCTGAGCTTTTAGCATCTCATTTGCTCATCCGGAGGTCCTGGGTTGTACAGTTTTAAACATTGTTTTAGTTGATTACAGCTTATGATTAATTCCTATATCACAATGTTAAGAAAACTTGTGATCATGATGTTGTGTATCATTAACCCACATTTTCCTTAGATTTTTTTTTTATTTCTGTAGCATTTTTCTGTTTTCTTATGTGCAAGTAACTATAGTCTGTCACTTTATATTGAAATGAATTTTAATGGTCTGTGTGTATGGAGATTAATTTTAAATGGGCTATGCATCACTTGCATCATTGTTTTTTTAAATCTGAAATTATCATTTTAATTTGTATTTTGTATATAAATGTACTCCTTACTTTTTAGTAACTCATAGTGATTTTATTTCATTTACTTTTCAGTGCATGTGTTTTGGAAAACATTATACATACCATATTTTTAGCTCTCTGTAAGATAAGCCAGAAGTAAGCTAAATATGTATTCCGTGGTCTTTCTGTGGTGAATTTCAGTAAAGTTTGTTTGCAAAGTGTGAGATCAAGATTTTGGAAAATAGTTTTAGAAAAATGTTCTGTTTAGTAACATTTGCTAGCATTGACCTATTTGTGTACAATTTATTTTCTTCCTCAGCAGGTGAAGATGAGAGGGCAGCTATGTGGACTTACAAGACTACTGTGGCCTTTCCAGTTAAATTGTTGGAACCTGGAGTTTTGCCAAACTTTCTAGGTGTAACTAAAGAGCCAGTCCGCTTCACTGCCACATCAGAAAAAACTGCAGCATCTGTTACAGCTTCCACTAAATCTGCTGGAGAAAAATCACCGACTGTCACTGCTTCATCTGATCTGTATCAAAGCCAAGAAGAAGTTTCTCAGATACTTGCTCATGATACTTTACCGGTATATGTACCAGCAGAAGAAGCTTCAGTTGAGGCACTTTGTAAAGGCTCAGTGCCAGAAGACATTCCTTCCCTTGCTGTGACCATAGATGATGTTGTAAAACCAACTACGGTTTCTTCTAAGCTTGGGAATTCAGCAGCTGAAGAACTGTCTTCCTCATCATCCAGTGAATCTGATTCAGACTCAGACTCAGACTCAGAGTCCTTTCCTGAAGATGAGAATTTAGAAACCCAAACCAGAAGCTTTTCTCTGGAATTGCAACTACCAAGTCATCAAGAACAGAGAGAAATGAAAGAGTTTACAGTTAGCGGAGTGACAAAGGGCCTACCTAATGCAGAGGAAGCAGAAGATCAATCTGTAGTAGAGGCCTCCAAAGATAATTTGCAAGTCTTTGATATCCTTACTGCTACAAAGAGTGCAGCTGAGCTTACCAGTTCTGCTTTTTCAACCCATACTGCTCCTACTGATACCCTGTGTGAAGCTCCAGCTGTACTTGTGGAGCAACATGAAGCTCCAGAAAAAGCCCAGTCAAATTCTCCTTTAAAAGCAGCAGATGTGCTTATGGAACTTGAAGATGGCTTTGTGGATGCTGGTGAAGAATCATGGGAAAAAGCTTCTACTATTGGGCCTGTACAGTCAAAAACTGTCTCTGCTGAAGTAGTGGCTGATCATCCAGCTGAAGTTGGCACCTCTGTTGAGACGGAGGACTCTGCCCGGGCGCTCGTGGAAGCTTCTGGAGAGGAGCTGTATGAGGAGACCTCTGCTGAACAGCCTGAGGGTATACAATACACCCGCCTTGCCCCTCACTCCAAACCTTTTAATGCTGCAGATAGGCTTTGTATTTCTTCCTGTCCCTAAGAATAAGGTCTTTTGGCAGGTTCCCTCACATTCTCTTTCACTCATATTACTGTTAAACTTTTATGACTTTAACATCTAACCTTCAAACTTATTCCTGGCATCCAGCTAATTTGAGGGAAACATCTGAGGATACTTTTCCTTGACTTTATGGTTCATTCCTTCTTCTGGTTTGATTTAATTATGTATGTACAATGGATACACAAAGTAATCAGACTTCTTTAAAATTTTCACTTTTTGATCACAGCCATTTTCTAAAATCAAACAAGTTCATATCATTTCTCATGAATGTACACTCAGCATACAATTTTGACAGAAAACCCCCCTGAAATGTAGACATTTTTGAAAATTTATTGAAGGACAAAAACTGGAATATCACATGATCATAAGTATTCAGACTGTGGTGTGACGGGTCGCAGCAAAGTGGCATATAGCCTGAATACCTTTTGTATCCACTCTGCATGGAAATATATACACTCTTACTGCCAAAAGCATTTGCTCACCCATCCAAATGATCAGAATCCAATGTTCCAATCACTTCCATGGCCACAGGTGTATAAAATGAAGAACTTAGGCATACAGGCTGTTTTTATAAATATTTGTGAAAGAATGGCTCACTCTCAGGAGTTCAGTGAATTCCAGTGTGGGACTGTGGTTAGAGGGCACCCGTGCAACAAATCCAGTTCTGAAATTTCCTCAGTCTTAAATATTCCACATTCCTCTGTATTATAAGAAAATGGAAGTGTTTGGGAATGACAGCAACTCAGCCATGAAGTGGTAGGCCACATAAAATGACGGAGCAGGGTAAGGAGACGCTGAAGCGCAGAATGCCAAGAGGTCAGCAACTTTCTACAGAGTCAATCTCCAAACTTCACGTGGCCTTTAGAGTAGCTCAAGAACAGAAAGCTTCATGGAATGGGTTTCCATGATGAAATAGCTGCATCCAAGCCGTACATCACCTAGTGCAATGCAAAGCCTTGGATGCAGTGGTGTAAAGCACACCACCACTGGACTGTAGAGCGGTGGACATGCGTCCTGTGGGGTGATGAATCGTTCTTCCCCATCTGGTAATCTGATGGACGAGTTTGGATTTGGCGGTTACCTTGTCTGACTGCATTGTGCCAAGTGTAAAGTTTGGTGGAGGGTTGTTTGTCAGGAGCTGGGCCTGGCCCCTTTGTGCCAATGAAAGGAACTCTGAATGCTTTAGCATACCAAGACATTTTGGACAATTCCATGCTCCCAACTTTGTGGCAACAGTTTGGAGCTGGCCCCTTCCTCTTCCAAGATGACTTTGCACCAATGAACAAAACACACAGTTCATATAGACATGGATGGCAGAGACTGGTGAGGCTGAACTTGACTGGTTGGCACAGAGTCCTGACCCAACAGATCACCTTTGGAATGAATTAGAGCAGAGTCTAAGAGCCAGACCTTCTTGTCCAACATCAGTATGTGACCTCACAAATGCGTTTCTGGAAGAATGGTCAAAAATCCACATAAACACACTCCTAAACCTTGAGGACAATAAAGGAAGAGCTAAAGCTGTTCAGGCTGCAAAGGGAGGACCAGCATCATATTGAACCCTATGGATTAGGAATGGGATCTCACTTAAGCTCATATGTGAATTAAGGCATGTGAGCAAATACTTTTGGCAATATAGTGCCAAATATTGCCAAAGGTTATATACACACTAATATATATGTAATCAGGTGATGTGCAACTGACTAATATTTCAATTGCTCTTGAATTTTTTTCTCCTTTGGTTGTGAGCTTGACATTTTCATTGCCAGCAGTTTTCCAGTGATATTTAGATGTAAATGTATATGACTAAATATGTGCTGATTTTTCAGTTGCCCCGCCCCCACCCCGCACCCCCATTTTCCTCATGTCCTAATGAGTCTTGTCAGTGGAAGTTTCTCTGTGTTGTATTTTACTTTTACAGGCTTCTATTTAATATGCCATGAACAGCCTTGAGGTCTTTCCCACAAATGTGTCTTCATACAAGCCTTGTTATTTTGGGAAATGTGATATTATAAGCTTCTTTATCAGAGCATGTGAATATGTAACTGCAGCCTCCAAAAGTCCTCGTAGTCCATTTCTTGATAGCTTCCTGCTATTGATGAATGCCTGCCAACAGTTTGATTTTAGGGGAAGAGAAAAAATGCTTCCAAGATAATTGACCTGGTTTGTGTTTCATGTGTGAAATGCAGCAAGATGCATCTCCGTCATGAGGTTCTCATTTTCTTCTGCAGAGTCAGCAGCAGTACCTCCAGAGCCTGAGAAATCTTTTGACAACAGCACTTACAAAAACTACCAGCACCACAGCTACACCAGCTACACATTTGCAGACCTGGATGTAGAGATGGCCAAGTATCGTCTTCCTCAGCCCTCGTCCGGAAAACTGTCACCCAGACACTAGGGAGTAGGTGGTGTGCACAGTGGTGGTGGTTATGTTGCTAAATCGTTTGTTAAAATGTGATATGATTAAAGAAGTGTAAGAAATTAAGTGTTTTTGTCTGATGCAATGGCTCCTTTCTTTAGTGCCATGTAAAAAGAGAACTTGCTTATGATACCCTGCTGGTATTTCTACCAGCTGAAGAAGCTTCGGTTGAGGCATGTGGTAATTAAAATGTGATTTTTTTTTTCATTTTTTTTTTCAAACTTTTTTGTAGGCTACTTCTAAGCCTTGAGGGGTCGTGAAAATAGAGCAGAATGAGCACATGGTGTATATTTCTATTGTAATGATTATTGTTTTAAACCAGTTGTCCTGATTAGAAATGAATCATACGAATGTTAGCTCATTTTTATGAGCTAACATACTTATGTTACGTATCTTAACTGAAATGTAAATGTTGAAATCAAAGAAATCCTTATTCAAATGAGCAAAAAATCGAACTAAAAACATCTACCGACGACGCCAAGCGTCAGGACGTCATTTCTCCGCCCGCCTCATACATATACATGAGCATAGCGCAACAACGTGCCCTTGCGTGATGACGCAACACGACAACTGCGGGTCCCGATTGCTGCAACCGCTTGTCAGTGTGACGAAGATTGGCACTCAGGTAAGCTGTCACTCAAAATCCCTCTTTTCCGTCCCTATCAATCAAACAATCTGGGCCGCACGCTAAAATGCCCCGGGGCAAAGAGCGTGAACCTGGGCAAAACAGCCGAGACTGTTTTGAAATGAAGTCGAAGCGATAAAGCTATTGTGATAACTTCTATCTATCTATAGGTCTCTATATTTTTTATATAAATATGTATATAAGGGAGGGGGTCAAGAAAAACCTCTGCGTTTTCGGGGCAGAGGAGAGGAGGATTGTGCTGAAGTAAAGGAAAGTTGTAGATTAGGCCCGGCAGTGTTGGCGCAGAGGGGAGGGGAGAAGAGACAAGGAGACGGCAGCTGTCCCTGCATGATTGATTGACTGATGGGAAGGATTTGAGCTCAAAGCAAGCTGCCGTCATGTGCTGCTAACGTTTTCCTTCTTCTAATCTATTTTCAGTAGAAAACTAACAAGCACTTATTGTTTTTTCGACCAAAACCAAAATGAAACGTTTCATATCCGTTGGTCTTGCTGCATATCAATCTGCTGCGGTCTTATTTTCCGTAGCCGCTTAGTTACGTTAGTTTTATTTTTGCGATATATTTCTACACTTATTTAATAATTAGATCTTCGTCTTAATGTGATACTGTCGACGATTGTTGGCTATTGCCGTCCAAGACTAGCAACTAGCTCACTATATTTAGCATTAGCTGGATGTTTTGCATCAGACTTGTATCGCAAGCTAACGCTAACGTGGTGCTATCGTTACAGCACAGCTAAGAAAGCGACTTCATTCAAACTTTGCAGCTTATAATTTTAAACATTTGCATCCACGTGTGAAAGTAGTGTGTTAAAATTGTCCCAAATAATGAAATGTATTGTGTACAAAATGTCTGTCGCTAACATCGGGTAAAAGCTAATTCATGGTGGGTGTGTTAAACACGGTTGCACGCCAACTCTACATAACTATGTTATTAACTGAATTATTAAAGGTGTACAGAAATAAAGTGATGAATGCTGTACCTAGACCCTGTCTCACTTCCTTTCTTCTTGTAATGACTCTTCCACGTTCCGTTTTGTTCTTGGAATCAGGAGATTTTATTGAACTTTTAGCTGTCGATATGGTTAATACTGTATCGCAGCAATGTTAAAGGGGTTTGTATGTGGAAAATATATTTTATTACTAAGTTTTAGTCTTTTTCCAGATATTTATCCAGCCTGTTTGGTTGAATTTCTAGAATTTTGTCTTCATTGTGGCAGTGGTTTAACTGAACTTGTGTATTGTGTAGGTTGGCCATCTGTCCCTGGTTTCTATAATGCCCCAGTGCTGGCAGTGAGTGATGGCAGCCCAGGCGGTTTCTATAGACAAATACCCAAAGGGGGAGCAGCAGGTGGGTGCAAGAGAGACCTGAGTTTGAATACATGTATGTAAAACCTCTGTTAATATTGAACCAATTTGCAATGTTCTAAACTTTAATTTTATAAGGTAGCTCCACACCATTTGGATATGTGTGGACACCAACATAACCAGGAGCAGTTGTGTTGCACAGTTGTGTTGCACAGTTGTGTTGCACAGTTCAAACCAAGCACAGTTTATATTTTTTTCCCTCTTTTGTAAACATTCATGTTGTCAGCTCTTGATGACACAATAAACATTAATTTCATTCAGAAGTGGGACAAAGTGTTTGCCCTCTCAAAAGAACCCCACAACATCATCCAAAACGCTGCAGACTTCATTTGCCTAGGTTAAGGTCAAAGGTCATGCTTCCACCATAAGAAAGAGACTGAGAAAATATGGCCTGTATGGCAGAGTTTCAAGATGAAAACCTTTGCTGAGTAAGAAGAACATTGAGGTTCTTTTCAATTTTTCAAGAACACTTGTTGGGCCGAAGAGCACTATCCTAACCTCAACATGGCTATCCTGTGTTCAAGTTCTGTCCTTGGTTCTTTTGCAGCATGTCTTTTCCCATTCTCTAGGCAGTTTTCCTGTTAGATTACGGTCAAATAAAGACTGCTAGTGGCAAGAAAGAAAAGAAAAATAAAGGAAACCATCTGATTCCTAAGCATAGAAAGATGAGTCAAAATGTAACTGTTTGGAATGTCTCCTACCACGACAGCTAGCATAAAAGTAACTCTGCATTTCGGAAAAAAAACTTTATGCCAAAAAATGCAGTGGTGGTAGAGTGACGATCAGGGGCTATTTTGCTACTTTAGGACCTGAGAGATTTGCTGTGATAACTGGAACCATGAATTCTGTTGTCTACCTTAAAATCGTGAAGGAGAACATCCAGCCATTGTTTTATGACTTTATAATGAAACAAACTTGGGTTCTGCAGCAGAACAATGATCCAAAAGACACCGGCAAGTCCACCTCTGAATGGCCAAAGAAAAACAAATTGAAGACTTTGCAGAGGCCCAGTCAAAGTCCTGATCTGAATCCTGTGATGCTGTGGCATGAGCTTCGAAAAGACAGTTCTTGTTCGAAAACCATTCAATGTGGCGGAATTACAGCAATTCCGCAAAGATGAGTGCCTTGGAAAACTATGCAAACTCTTTGCTAGTTTTCTAACAAACTTTAAGATTATTGAGATTGCTGTTAAAATGTGCATAATTGTAGAGGGAAAATGTTACATGCTTTTCAAACTTTTTAACAAACACAAATGTTAACTTGAAAGTGCATTTCCTATGAAAATGCAAGAGTGAATGCTGAATGCTTTTGGTAAAAATGGCAATAGGGTTTGAAGCCAACTGCCGAAGACTTGCAGAAATGTAAGAAATAGTCGATGCAGTGTGAAAAACCCAAGTAAAAGACAAAATTAGCACTATTATGCCGGATCACAGGAATATATTCTATGTAATGTAAAAAACAAAACGTAAACCTAAAATTTGAAAAGGATAGTAATGTTCCCCTATTTCTTTTGATAAAAATGGTGGGTGAATGAAATCCATACCTTTTATGGTTCCTTACCTTTCATTTGTTTGGAGGCATCGTTTAGCACTGTGACTACAAAATGTGCCACATGCAGTATGAAAAAAGCAATGTCAAGAGCTCAAATTATTCCCAGGTGTTAAAAGCTGTTAAACTGCCCAACTTCAAAATGACCACTGCCTTGTGTCCTCCATGACAGCCCTGAAACTGGATGATTGATTGCCATTAATAGGCAGGACCTAAAACATCCACTGTGAAACACAACAGACATTTTATATTGTAATTCTCAATTTTGCCACTGGATGGGGCATTTTTCCCCATGGGGTAAAAAATTAATAAAAATATGAATATTCTAAGAAGTATGAAGGTTATGAATACCAAGAGATATAGCCGGCATTAGGAGATCAAGCTGAATAGTATAAAGTTGAATGGTGGAAATGGCACAAAGAATGCAGGAGAATAAGTGCAATGAAATTTACAGAGCAACTAGAAAGTGGAATGCATAGTGCATTCATACTATGAATATATAACAAGCAAAGAGCAGTCCACTGACTTTATACAACCACTCTTTGCTACAGTTACAAGTCTTGACTGATTTTTCAAGTTTTTTAAATTTCATTTGAATTGTTTTTCTAGAAGATGAATAAGATCACCTCAGATTGGATGTAGAGCATCTGTAAACATAATTTTCTTAAGTCTTGTTTAAAAAATTCTGTTTTGGTCTCAACAATTTTAGTGGAAGAGCGGGTTTTGTGTTTGAGGTAGTTGTTCTGCTGAATGGGGAATCTCACATAAAATCCCATTAAGTTCACTGAAGTGAGACTGTCTGGGGAAACGGGTCAAAAGTTTAAAGTGTATGAATACTTTTGCACATAACTATCCCAAGAGGTCACATTCCGATTTTCGATTTATTTGACTTAAAACAGGGACAGTGTACCTTAGTGGAGGTGCCCCGTATCAGTTTATGCCCCAAAGTGCAAATGTCTTCCTGTGGTCCCTGGGCCACCGGATACACCGGATACACCAGATAATAGGACCCTGAAGTAGAATCTCAGTATTGTGCTTCATCTCACTTTTGACTTTCACATGATTTCAGTAACCCTAACCTGTCTCATGTTTTCTGTTCATTTCATTTTCTCTCATTTTGCTTAATTATTGCAGATTCAAAGTGTGGTAAAAGTAGACTGTGACTCTGAGTCTAAATTTGAAGGGACACTGGTTGAAGTGTCCAACCCGGTACCCTCTGAACCACAGACACCCATGGATGCTGACAAAGCATCCATATATCGGTAATAAAACCTCATTTTTATGTATTTTGTGAAAATATTGTCTCAGGCATCATCCATCTAATTTATTATGACATGTCCTTGTTATTCTCAGAGTAAATATCACTGCACCCATTTATGAAATGTTGTAAGGATTTCTGATATTGTGCTTTGTTTTCATACATGAAACCCAATGACAAGTGCTAAAGTAACTAAGTGTAGTTTAGCATTGTAACTGTTGGTCAATATTCCACAGACATCCCCTGTTTCCCTTGTTGGCCCTGCTTTTTGAGAAGTGTGAGCAGTCCACACTGAGCTCTGAATGCATCACATCAGCGAGTTTTGATGTGGACATTGAGAACTTTGTACGCTGTCAGGAAAAAGAGGGGAAGCCCTTCTTCAGTGAAGATCCCGAACTTGATAACTTGGTGAGTTTCAAACTATCAAAAACTATATTTTTGATAGTTTTGCAAAGAAATGAATGCAGAGCTCTGCAGCCTTTTCATGTTTGTAAAATTTCACAACAGGCTTGTAAACTGAGAAAGAGTTCACAGTAATATAGAACATATTTGTTTATTCCATTTTTCATCTGTCTTCTTCATATATATCAATATCTAGATATGTAGATCTATATCTATATTTAGATATATAATATATATATATATATATAGAGAGAGAGAGAGGAAGAGAGAGAGAGATAACGTGTGTATGTGTGAGGTAGCCGTTCCCCTGAGTGTTGTTTGAATAAACTCTGAGTCTGTTTTTAATTTTTTGACACAAGGAGGATATGTCACTGGTTTTACTGTAAAGATATCAATAGTTATCTTTGTGACGTTTGCAAATGCGTGACTCTGCTTACTTTCTCTTTAGCAGAGTGGCTTGTGTCTCAGCCTTTTAGGTCTCCCTCCTTTACAACACCTGGCAAGTGTTGTGTATAGTTGTTCTAATTTTCTTTTACGCTGTTATCTTTATTAAAAGTGATTGTATGAACAGTGCCCGATGAATAAAGTCTGGTTGAAGGTTCAATGGATTACCCCATCTTTGTTTCTATATTTTCAATGTTAAGATGGTGAAAGCTATTCAAGTGCTACGGATCCATTTGCTGGAGCTGGAGAAGGTGAGTGACCTGTGTAAAGACTTTTGCAGTCGCTACATCGCCTGCCTCAAGACTAAGATGAATAGTGAGACTCTTCTGAGTGGAGATCCCGGCAGCCCATACTCCCCATTGCAAGGCCAGGCACAGAACTTCTCACCCACCAAGACTCAGGTGTGCAGTGTAGGTGCACAAGCACCAATTTAGGCTTGCTGCCACTACAGCTCCACCACTTTCTTCTGTGACTCTGAGCAAAGCATATGTTTTAAAACCAGCCGTCTGAGTGGAAAACATTTTGTGTGTGAATGCTTTAATTTCCAGACGTCAAGCTCCATCTCAGGCACCCTCAGCCCCCAGGGTCAAATTGTGGTGCCAGCATCAGCCCTGCAACAAGGGAATGTTACTGTTACAGCTGTCAACCCCACCCAAGTAGTTACAGGTAAGATATTTTCTAGCTTAGTAACTAGTTAGTTTGTTCTTTGCTTGTGGAATAAAGCTGTTATTCACAACAGCTCCAGAAGTGAAATGTGCTGGTGAGGCACATTTTACTTTCTCTAAAGCTTCCCAGAAAAGGGTAACTGCAGCCACTACTACCAGCACTAATGTAGCACTGATCTTACTTCAGTGAGCTCTTGCAGCAGTAAACTCCACCCAGAGCCTTGAGGTCAACCGACCAGCCTAAAGCCAGGCGACGACCAGACGGGACTGAACCTTCCCTGGCAAACAGTTTTCTTCTGTCTTTTAAGCTCAGTCAGTCAGTCAGTCAGTCAGTCAGTCAGTTAGTTAGTTAGTTTAAGGTCCAGACTGAAAACACATCTTTTCTCCCTGGCCTTCAACATCAATTAAAAAAAGGGGAGAAAAAAGGAAAAAATGTGGATATCAGTACTTTACTGATTCCATTTTTTAGGGGTGTGGGCAGGAATCACTGCAGCTGACATGAAATATGTCTTGGTTTTTATTCATATCATTAATTTTGGGTATTTTCTGCCAATTTTATAATTTAATGGTCCTATTTTTTTTTTGCCATCTTAATATTGTTTCCTGTTATATCATATCTACCTGTGATGTCATGATTGAAGCACATTGGTAAGCTGAGATTGTTGCACATGTGCTATATAGATAATTGAAGAGCTGCATTTGGTGCTACCCAACTCTGAAGTCTTGCATAATGAAGAATTTTTTTTCAACAAAGTTTACCATGGAGGGGAAAACAACTGAGAAGACAAGAAAAATAAAAGCACAAGTGAAAAGATGACAAATAGGGAAAAAGATTCAAACGAACTGTGATTCATTTCTTCATCTTATGTAAATGTGACAAGATTTTCAGGGAATCGCAAAATATTTGTAAATTTCTGTCGGGAACTAGGTCTTAACTTTTATTTAGAATGGTCTTTAAAAGTCTTTAAATTCAGAAGTTGGTGAAACCTGCAGGAACCCTATAAATTCATGAAGGAAACATACCTAACGCTTATTCATTATTACTCAGTGCTGAGTCAATTTGAGCTGTTTTCACTGACTTGTCAGCAGCACTGACCAGCAAAACACATGACACTCTGAGTGGATATGTGTATGCTTCTTTCAGGAAGTACAGTTTACCAGCCAGTAACAGTGGTCACTCCTCAGGGCCAGGTGGTGACTCAGGCCCTGTCTCCTGGGACAATACGTGTCCAAAACAATCAGGTAGTGCTTCTCTGTTTTATCCCTGTGAACCAGCTCTGTGTTTCTAAGTCACATCTTTTGGTGGGGGGCTATGCTGTGGTATTGCCTGAAAATTAAAAGAAAAGCTAGTTCTGTATTAATATTCTTTTATGTTCTAATATTAGAAACCTAATATGGTTTCTGTAGGAAAGCACATTAAGTTTCCTACAGTCATTCTGAACGTTTTCCAATGCTATAAAATGTGTGGAATAAATATTAAACTTCAACATTTCTGTCAACGAAAATTTTCGTCTTAGCCTGCAACGCTAGTTTCTTTCAGCTGGGCAGGGTGCGAGGCAGGGGGGTGTTGTAAACAAACTGACAGATAGCAAAAGGAAAAAGAGGAAATCAGATGATTCTACAATTCTTGGACCAAATCATTTGCATTCATTGCCAATGTGGAAGGATCACCTGAATGTTTGCTTGAGAAGTTGTGAAATAACTAAAAGAGTAATGTAGAAAGACATTTCCAGGGAAGGCTTGCTGTAGCTGATCCCCAGTACTTGAATTAAAAAACAGTCGGTCTCGACAGGTGATATTGGCTTTATTTCTCCTTTGATGATTTTGCTGGATCATCGTCAGGTCACTTGACTTCAAAACCTCCATCATCATCACCATCATCATCACCATCACCGTGAAAACTAAACAAATACAAATATTAAAATACAACACAAATCAACAATACAACAACACACAAAAAACGTACCTCGCTGCCTTTACTGGGGAACGCCATTTCTTAGTCCAACGTTTGACAGTTCATTTGGTTCACTGCAATTCCTCAGTTTTTTTATAGGCCCTGCCCTCTTTCTCTACGGCAGCCCGTGAGGTACGTATTAAAAAAAAAATCCCAAAACATTACAAAATACCATTAAACCAAATAAATCACCAACAATGCAAACCAAAACAGACAAACATACATAAACAATCTGCAACAGTCTTAAATTAGAAATTCATTTAAATTGTTTAATTTAAATAAACTACAAATAATTTAGACATTTCATTTTACAATCCGTTACACTCCCACCAATAATGCATGAACCATTACTAAAATTATGCATTATTTAAAAGGTTTTTTTTTTAAAAATCATGCAGATTGTTTAAAAACATGCTCGTCTGTGTACATTAAGTTACAAATCGTTTTCTAATAACACCACCAATTTTTGCACCGGTCTTTCTATTACTGAACTCTTAGAAATAATATCCCTACCTGATCTTTGTTCTCCTGTCCTCAATTTTACTTTTCGAACCAAGCCATCGCTATCAACAATTGTTTCAACAACACGACCCAACTGCCACCTATTTCTTGGGAGAAAATCCTCTTTTACTATTACAATATCATTTATTTTTAAATTGCGCCGAACTACATGCCATTTTTGTCTAATGGAAATATTCTGGGTATTCTCTCTTCCACCGACTCCAAAACTGCTCAACCAGAAACTGCACACGGCGCCAACGTTTTGAGGAATAGATATCCTCCCTCACAAATTTCCCTACAGGAGGCAAGGCAGACTCAGACTTCATCTGAAGCAGATGGTTAGGAGTTAAAGGTTCAAGAGAACCAGGGTCATTCATTCCCTTCAGTGTTAAAGGACGACTATTAATTATGGCCATGGCTTCATAAAAGAAAGTTCTTAATGAAGCATCATCAAGTTTTCCCAAGTTTTGTGATAGAGTAAAAGCTAATACATTTCGAATGGTTCGTATCTGACGCTCCAAACACCACCAGCATGACTTGCTGATGGTGCATTAAAAATGAACTCACATTGATTTTCTGCCAGGAAAGACTCCAAATGTTTAGGACCACACTGTTTAAACTCATTTTGGGCTCCTACAAAATTTCTTCCTTGATCACAATATATCTGGCGAACGGCTCCTCTCAAACTAATGAAACAGCGCAGGCCATTAATAAAAGAATCTGTGGACAAATCCTCCAACATTTCAATGTGAACAGCTCTTGAATAAAGGCAGGTGAACAACAACCCATACCTTTTGTATTCCTTACGATTTTCTTTTAACAATAAAAGGACCAAAACAGTCCATTCCACAATAGGTAAATGGTGCAGATGCTTCCAAGCGTTCTTTTGGAAGCTCAGCCATAAGTTGTTCTTCCACTGGACGTCTGATCTTCCTGCACTGCACACATTTATGAATCATCTGAGCCACCAACCTGCTGCAGCCAATAATCCAAAACCCATTAAGCCGGACCTGCATTTGAGTTTGACCTCTGCCTTGATGACTTACTTGATTGTGACAGTAAGACAAAATAAGATGAGTAACATGGCTGTGTTTTGGCAAAATCAGTGGATATCTAAAATCTTCACTAAGAGGTGAATGTTTTAATCGTCCACCAACTCGCAGCAGTCCATCTTTTACAATAGGATTCAAATTGAACAAAGGGCTAGAACGGGGAAGGATGTCTCCCCCTTTTAACAACCTCATCTCGGAGCCAAAAGCCTGTTCTTGTACAAGTTTCACCACTGATTTAACAGCATCTTCCCGTTCTTTAACACTCACCACGTTTGAATAGCATTTGTTGTGGCATCCAAGTCTTTTGATTCTGGCAACAACTTTAATCAATTTTGACCAAGATGAAAACTTAGTGAAACGTTCCAAAAAATCTGGAGTGTCATTAGCTGTTGTTACAAATGTTTGAATAGATTTAACCTCTGGGTCACCCACTAAAAGATCAGGATAAAATTTTAACTCCCGGTTAATTTCCTTTTCCCACAAAAATTCAGGACCTGTCAGCCAATTGGTTGTTAAAATCTCAGAGGCAGTTAACCCTCTCGAAGCATGATCTGCTGGGTTTTCAGTAGTGTCGACATGATTCCATTGACTCGGATTGGTGTTTTCTCTGATTATTTGGACTCGATTTGCCACAAATACTTGAAACCGTCGTGCTTCATTATTAATATATGATAACACTACTTGTGAGTCTGTCCAGAAAAACTCAGCGTCTATCTTCATGTCAAGTTCTGATTTTAACAGAACACTCAACCTTGCAGCAACCAGTGCAGCTGAAAGCTCGAGACGTGGAATGGTTGTAATTTTCAAAGGAGCGACTCGAGCTTTAGCCATGATCAAAACACAATGTATTTCACCCTTGTCATTCTCAAATCTGAGATAGGAACATGCACCATATGCTCGGCTGCTAGCATCTGAGAAGTGATGCAGTTCTGATTTGACAATCCTTCCAAATCCATCGGGATGATAACATCTCGATATCAATAACTTCTTCACATCCTGAAGGCTAAACTTCCACTTCTCCCACCGTACAAGTAAGTCTTCAGGCAGAGGGTCGTCCCACCCAATACTTCTGCAGCACAGATCTTGCAAAATGCATTTTCCCTTCATAATGAGTGGGGAAAGAAATCCCAATGGATCATAGATAGAAGCTATTACTGACAAATACCACGTCGTGTATCAGGTTTGTCCCTCAGGTCAATATGAAAACCCAAACAGTCCTTTTGAACATGCCATCGCATACCTAAAATATGTTCAGCAAGTTTTGAATCAGGTTTAAGATCAGCAGAAACTGTACTTGTGGCTCTCTCAGATGGATTCACACAGTCTAGGACTTCAGGCCTATTAGAATTAAATTTATGGAGTCTCAGACCACCTTCCTTGCACAGTTTCTGCACCTCAGTTATTAATCTGGTTGCATCATTAGCTGTAGGAACACTTATTAGACCATCATCAACATAAAAATTATTCTCCACAAATGCTGCTGCAGATGGAAACTTTAATCTCTGCAGTTGTGCCAAATATTTCAGACCAAAATTAGCACAGCCTGGAGAGGAGGCAGCACCAAAAAGATGGACCTTCATTTGATATTCTTTAGGCTCACTTTCCAAATCTCCTTGCTCCCACCATAAAAACCTCAGGTAACAACGATGGTTAGACGCAACATAAAACTGGTGGAACATCCTTTCAATGTCACAAGTAATAGCCACAGCTTCTTTTCTGAAACGCAAGAGGATTCCAGTTAAAGAGTTGATCAAATCTGGACCAGTCAACAAAGTATCATTCAAAGAGATGCCACGAAATTTAGCTGAGCAGTCAAACACTACCCTTAACTTATCTGGTTTCTTTGAATGATACCCCCATGATGAGGCAAATACCACACACAACCATCATTGGCATTTTCCTCAGAAACTAGTTCAGCATCTCCACAGTTAATGATAGACTCCATAAATGTTTTATAATGATTGTAGAACTGATCATTTCTCTTTAACCTTCTCCTCAGATGTTGTAAACGAACGGTAGCCAGCGTCTTATTGTTTGGCAACATAGGAAGGCAGGATGTTTTAAATGGAAGGGGCATCTCCAAATGGCCATCATCCTTTTGTATAATGTTTTCGCTCAGAAGTTGTATGAACCGAATGTCATCTTGGGAAACACATTTTCCTTCTGAACCCCTTTCATTAAAATCCAACTCCAAAGCTCTTAAAACATCAGAAGTTAATGGAGTGGGCATTTCTTTCACCATCACTCTGTGTACATATCTTTGGTTTCCTTGCCGATCTAAATGTGGATTAATTGCCCCAATAATACTCCAACCAAGAGCAGTCTTCTGAGCAAAAGGTTCATTTTCCCACCAACAACAACTTCCAAGGGAGCCAAAGCAGAAGGACAGTCAAAACCAATAAGTAAACCTACTTCACAATTTTGCAAAGCAGGCATTTTGCCAGCTAGATGTAAGATGAGGCCACTGTAATGCTGTACTTCTACTTGGTATGCAAGATGTATCAACAGGAATAAAGTCACGTGTATATGCTTGCCGCAACTGTATACAAGTATCAGAGAAAAAACTCCGAACCTGCAAGCCATACACATTTTGACTTGAAATGGGTGTATCAACAGAAACCATGGTACTAAGTTTTAACTGCACTGGTTTGGTTTCAACAGTCAAGTTTCTCACAAGATCTTCTAAAACAAAGGAGGAGTCACTCTGAGTATCAAGGAGTGCATATGTAAGTATTTCCTTCCCAGGATCCTTCACAGAGGACAGGAAAACTGGAACAATACTTGATGTAGCAGAAATGTTTCGGATGAGTGCATGAGATAATACACTATGAGAAACCTGAGGTGTTTCTTCTGGAGTTATGGAACACTGCTGAGCAACATCATGAGATCTCACTCTCTCCTTGTGCAAACAAGTAGGATGATGCCGTCTACACTCCCCACAAACATGCCGCGTTTTACAATCTTTCAATAAATGACCTTTCCTTAAGCATCCAAAACAAAGATGGTTCTGATATATAAATGATCTTTTGTCTTCCATTGATTTAACTGCAAATTTAGGACATTTAGCAACACTGTGTGACATGTCTGCACAAACCAAGCAAGGCAGTTTAGATTTTAAACCATGAACACTTTCTTGTTTCTTAAACTCCGTACTGGTGTTAAGAACCTTTGCTTTCCTGGAAAGGTCATTTGAAGAAGTTCTAGACTTTAACAAAAATGGAGAAGCAACAGGGTTGCATACTATACGTGCTTCCTTTTGTATAAATCTAGAAAAACATTCAAAGGATGGATATTCTCCACATGCATCAAGTACTTCAACAACAACTCTACTCCATTTACGTACAACCCAGTCTGGTAACTTCTTCAACATCTTATGATTTTCTTCACAGTCATTTAAGATGGACAGTCCCTTTACTTGAGGCATAGCCTCTTCACAACCTTTCAAAAAGTCAGCAAAATCTCTGAGAGACAATGGATCGTTTGGTGCAATCTTTGGCCATGACATAAGTTTATCCCTAAATGCTTTCTGGATGACAAATGGGTTTCCATACCTATCTTGTAAAACTGACCAAGCACCTTCATATGCGTCCTCAGAGCTTCTGTAAAAGAAACCTTCTACAGCCTTTCGGGCTTCTCCTGAAAGATAACTTTTCAAATACAACATTTTTTCCCCAGCAGAGATGGATTTTGAATCAATTAAAGTTGTGAATGATATTTTTAAAGTCCACAAATTTCAAAGGGTCACCAGAGAATATAGCAGGTTCAGGAACAGGAAGGCGACTTAAACTCAATGAGCTCGTTAAGGCTTCAGCCAAGTTCACTGCAGGAATCTCAGCACAAACATGAGGTGGTAGAATTGATGCAACCTTTGCAGCTTTATGACTTGGGTGTTTCAGTGTTTGCTCTGATTTAACCTCAGACTTAAAATCAAGATTTCCCTTTTCAACACCATCTTCAAGTCTGCTGTAAACATCAACCCGAGCTGCAGCCATCTTAACTTCCATGTCTGTTTGCATTACCTTTAACTTGCTCTTCTCTTCATCAAGCTGCTGTAGCACTTCAGCTTCCTTCTGCTTCATTTCTGCCATAATCTGGGACTCATGACATTTCCAGTCACATTCAAGTTTACTGACTTTAGCATGCTGAGCTTCAATCTCCAACATTGATCTAACTTGAACCCTTTTGGCTGCAAGATCAGCTTCTGCCATTACACGCCCCTGAGAAACCTTGGAGCTAGTAATTGATGAACTGCAGGGAGAAACTTTCAATAGACGCTTCTCCAAAAACAGATTGATATTCATCTCTATTTAAGACTTCTCTCACTCTTTCCTTTTCAACTTCTTGATTAAAGTTTTCCTCAACAATACCCCTTTCTAAACGCTTACACACAAGATCATAAATCTCATTTGTTAATATAGTACAGGCATCTAGTTTCTGCACAATATCTGGAGTATTTAAAAAATTACGTTGAAGAAACTCATAATTCTGTTTCACTTTATCAAGACTGTTCTGGACTTGCTTATTTATTTCATTCAGATTCTCCTCAGAGCAGAAACCCTTTAGTTTCTTCCTTGCTTCTCTTGCAGTTTGTTTCCAGGATGCATAAGACTTAAGAAATGCCTTTATCTGTTTTGCAGACTCTTCTTCTGTACTGCTCTCCCTTTTCAGTCAACTTTCTTGTGCGAGGACCTGAAACCAACTCTTGTCCCTTTGGCTTTTCTTCAGTTTTCACATCTTCAGCAGAAAGATCCATTTCATTTGGCAGTGACATCTTAACTCTAAGACCTTACAGTGAAATTAAACCCACATTCAAACTTAACATTTAATTACAAAACACCATTGTTTTTTTTTTTTTTTTTTTTATAATTTTTTCTTACATATGCTACTACCTTATAAATAATTCAGAATTTCATTTGACCCAATAGCGGTCTAAACTCAGTTCATAAATATCGAGCAGGTGCCGTTATTTCCGCGTTGATTGATCAGTCAATGTCTCACCGCTCCAGTGGTCATCTGTCAGATTCAGTTTCTGATACAAACTTGGATCCAGCGCGAAGACAGTTCCTCATTGTAGCGTTGATTCCGAGGAGCGACAACTTCGGCGATGTCCGTACCAAACGTCTCACCGTCAGTGGAAGGCGACACACGGAGATGACGAGTTTTCACTGTAGCTGATCCCCAGTACTTGAATTAAAAAACAGTCGGTCTCGACAGGTGATATTGGCTTTATTTCTCCTTTGATGATTTTGCTGGATCATCGTCAGGTCACTTGACTTCAAAACCTCCATCATCATCACCATCATCATCACCATCACCGTGAAAACTAAACAAATACAAATATTAAAATACAACACAAATCAACAATACAACAACACACAAAAACGTACCTCGCTGCCTTTACTGGGAACGCCATTCTTAGTCCAACGTTTGACAGTTCATTTGGTTCACTGCAATTCCTCAGTTTTATAGGCCCTGCCCTCTTTCTCTACGGCAGCCCGTGAGGTACGTATTAAAAAAAATCCCAAAACATTACAAAATACCATTAAACCAAATAAATCACCAACAATGCAAACCAAAACAGACAAACATACATAAACAATCTGCAACAGTCTTAAATTAGAAATTCATTTAAATTGTTTAATTTAAATAAACTACAAATAATTTAGACATTTCATTTTACAATCCGTTACACTTGCTTTAAATATGATTTTCAAACTGAATTTATAAAACTTATGTGATGTGTAGATCATCTGTTCTTTCATGATATGGCAAGATTTATTTGTGGAATAGTAACTTGACAGCTTGTGTTGCCAATTCATCCTTAAAAACTAGTTCTAAAAACTAAAGTTTAAAAAAATCTCATGATGGCATTCATAGTTTATGCTTGGTATTTGTTTTCCTTTTTGTGTTTTCTATGCTCTCATGAATTGATTTTTAAAATCGATGAATTCAAATAACAGCAGATTATCAATGTGTGACTGATGAGCTGAAGATCTCATGCAGCAGGGGAAATATTCCAAGCACTAGAGCAAATCTTTTCCTGAATGTGTAAAAATGAATTTATAAAACTTATGTTTTATAAATGTAGGACTTGAATCTGCACATAGACCTTAAGCCAATCTTTTATAAAAACCTATGGAATTCAATTAAAATGTAAATGTATCACATCCTTTGCACACATGTAACAAATTTACTTACAAGAGTATGTCAGATTGCTTTGAACAGTTTTCCCTAATAAATTAAATCATCCCTATAAATTAACAAAAAACATGAAATTATAAAAAAATTTGTATTGTGTTCTGAAACATTTGTGACAAAAGTTGAACACAGAGGCTGCAGAAAATAACTGACCATGTGTTCTTAGCTTCAGCTACAGTTTCACCAGGACTTGAACCTCTTTAATCACGAGGACAACTCAACGAAAAATAAACGGGGCGTTCTACCCAAACATGCCACCAATGTCATGCGCTCTTGGCTCTTCCAGCATATTGGGGTAAGTAGATATTAATGACACCATAGGAATGGACCATACCTTAACCTTTATTTATGAATTTTCTATTCTTCTCTCATATAGCATCCTTATCCAACTGAAGATGAGAAGAAACAGATTGCCGGTCAAACAAATCTGACACTCCTGCAAGTCAATAACTGGTTAGTTTTTCTTTGAGTTATTTATTTTCACAAAATAAGTTTTTGTTTTGTCGAAATATCAATGAGATTAACATTTCTTGCTTATAACAAGACCTATGAAAAAAGTTCCAGAAAATCACATCATGCAACAATGTAGTGTTTTATTTTAAAATTGAAGTACAGTGGGATTTGGAGGAAAGGAAAAAAAAAAGATTTTTATTGTGTTATGAAATATGACAAGGTTTTAGGATCCTGTAAAATTACTTTGCATTTCGAGAGCATTAAAGCTGCAGTATGTAACTGAAAAAGAAAAGTTTTTTACATATTTGGTAAAACTGTCACCATGTCGAGACAGATAACCTGTGAAAACCTTGAGCTACTGCGATCTGCAGAAATGAGAAATGGCCTGTACTTCTGACCACAAGGCAGGTCAAGTGTCTTGTCCAAAGACACAATGACAGAGACAGACAAACCAGGGATTGAACTAGCAGCCCACTGATTGTGTGATGAACTCCTACCAGTCACCCCAATGCACCACTCCCAATTCAAAAACAACCAATCAGAGCCAAGAGTGTCTTAGGGCTGTCAATTAAGTTTCTGTACGTGCTGCTAAATGTGATAATGGCAGAGAAACAACTTTGAATCAGAATTCCTTTTAATGTCATTGTGAATGGTTAAAGCACAACAAAATAAAAAATATAGCAACTCTCGACGGAACAAAAACCAACCGGGATGTTAAGAATAAAAGATAGATAAACAAATGAATTTATGAATTGATTAATCAAGATCAAGTTTTAGATTGATTAGCTGTGTTCAGTGCAACAACAACTCTCAGAGAAAAACTAGTTTTAGCATGTTTGTCCTTGTCTTTATTGCCTTGAAGTACCTCCTTATGTCAGAAGTTTGAAGAGACGGTGGCCTCTTCAAACATTCAGTTCCTTTGACCTGAAGTTGTTCAAAAAGCTTTCCAGGGTTCCCTGCCCTCAGGGTTCTCCATACTTCCTATTCAGTGATGGTGGAGGGATGCTGGCTGCAGTAGTGGCTCTGCTGGTGATTCAGCCTCAAAACGGATGAAGAAATAATTGAGCTGCTCTGCCAGTGAAGCATCCCCAGAGATTTTGGTGGTGTAGCTGGATCTGAAATGAGTGAAGTGCTGGACCCCTTCCCTCACCTACTAGCTGTTGTTGCAGCTGAATTCCACCTCAGTACTCTCCTTGTAGTTCTCCTTGTAGTTCTCCTTGTAGTTCTCCTTGTAGTTCTCCTTGTAGTTGTCCTTGTAGTTCTCCTTGGCCACAGCTGTACAGGTTCCTGTGTTTGGCTCTGAAAGCTCTATGTCTCCTCAGGAGTTTCTATCCTCTTTCTTCATCGAGTGCTTCTGGTTGGAAACACGCTGATTAACACAGTACTGGATAAGTACTGCTGAAGTGAATACCTCCAGGTCCTGGTGCCAGAAAATGTCCCAGACTGTGGTTGCTGTAGTTGCTGAGTGACACCGTCAGGCCAAGATTTCACAGTCTTTATTTTGAGGGGTGCTGTCTGTTGGTTTGTGTGCCAGAAGAAGAAGCAGTGATATGTGCACAGAGGAGCCCAGATGGGGGAGCCGACTGGTCCTATATCCATGCTTGATGTTAGAGAAGGCTTTGTCCAGCGTCTTAGCTCCTCCAGTGGCACATTTGTTGTGTTGATGGATTTTAGGGAGATCTACTTTCAGATCAGCATGGTCAAAATCACCCACAACCACATGCATTGCCTCTGGGTGGTTGTTGTGTTGCCAGCCGTGTTGTGGCAGGGAAAGGGGGAGGATGTGACCTGGCACACACAAAAATAATTGACATCACTAAAGTCCTGCTTTTATCTCTGATTGGTTGTTTCTGATTGAACTGTGTATTTCTGTAGTGAGCATTGAGAGAAGGCAGAGGAGCATGACACAAATTATCTGTCTCATACCATCTGTTTTTTTTTAAATAAAAGCTACATAATTAAGAACAGTAACAAGAGAGATGAAATATTTCTGCCTGTCTGAGGTTTTGTCCTCTGCTGCCTTGTTGTTGAAGTGTGAGCTTGTCTTGTCAAAGCTTTTCAAAGACATTCAACTGACTGTCTTTGACAGTTGACAGAAATGGTTTTAATGAAGACAAAAAGCAGCCCACCATGACTTTACAGACCAACTGTTTAAACTGAAAAAAGTACTACTTAGTTTGAATGAACTACATCAATTGTTAAAATTCCTACACTGCTCTTTGGCCTTTTGAATTTGGGAAATGTTCTGTTCCAATACAAATCACACCTATTTGGTTATTAACCCCAATAAATAATCTATGGTACTTTAAGGCAGATAAGTTCTTTTGCTTCCTATCTACCTAAAATATGTACAAGTTGATACAAAATCCAACTTGAAAAAGACCCCAGAACATCTGGTGTTTCTAGGTTCATCAATGCACGGAGACGGATCTTGCAGCCGATGTTGGACGCTAGCTCTTCTGAGACCACCAAAGCCAAGAAGAAAACTCCACAAAATCGGCCACTGCAGCGTTTCTGGCCTGACTCCATTGCTGCTGGGGGAGGAACTCATCAGCAGGTTACCATGCCTGATGGTAAGTAGCTACTTACCTATTAGGACAAATCAATTATTATATGTGAAGAGTCAGCAACCTTTTACATATGGTATAAATTGCACATTTCAAAGATCAGGAAAAAGGTTACTTTACATTAGCTACAGGTAAAAGACAATATTTTAACTTTAGCATTTTACTTACAAAATACAAATCAGGTGTGGCCATGATGAAGCTAACCCCCAAGTAGCTTCATCTGGGAGGATAACATAGCTATTAGCTGAGCAGATAAGCTCTGAGCCAAGTCACAAGCCTATAGGAATGAATGAAAATAATTTGCCCATACAAATTATTAGTAACAGCAACATTTCAGCCAATAGGATGAAATTTAAGCGTATCATCTATGATACGGCGTATCATCTATGATACGGCGTATCATCTATGATACGGCGTATCATCTATGATACGGCGTATCATCTATGATACGGCGTATCATCTATGATACGGCGTATCATCTATGATACGGCGTATCATCTATGATAAGGCGTATCATCTATGATACGGCGTATCATCTATGATAAAGCGTATCATCTATGATACGGCGTATCATCTATGATACGGCGTATCATCTATGATACGCCGTATCATCTATGATAAAGCGTATCATCTATGATACGGCGTATCATCGATGATACGGCGTATCATCGATGATACGGCGTATCATCTATGATACGGCGTATCATCTATGATATGGCGTATCATCTATGATACGGCGTATCATCTATGATAAAGCGTATCATCTATGATAAGGCGTATCATCTATGATAAAGCGTATCATCTATGATACGGCGTATCATCTATGATAAGGCGTATCATCTATGATACGGCGTATCATCTATGATACGGCGTATCATCTATGATAAGGCGTATCATCTATGATACGGCGTATCATCTATGATACGGCGTATCATCTATGATACGGCGTATCATCTATGATACGGCGTATCATATATGATACGGCGTATCATCGATGATACGGCGTATCATCTATGATACGGCGTATCATCTATGATAAAGCGTATCATCTATGATAAAGCGTATCATCTATGATAAAGCGTATCATCTATGATAAAGCGTATCATCTATGATACGGCGTATCATCTATGATACGGCGTATCATCTATGATACGGCGTATCATCTATGATAAGGCGTATAATCTATGATAAAGCGTATCATCTATGATAAAGCGTATCATCTATGATACGGCGTATCATCTATGATAAAGCATATCATCTATGATACAGCGTATCATCTATGATAAAGCGTATCATCTATGATACGGCGTATCATCTATGATACGGCGTATCATCTATGATACGGCGTATCATCTATGATAAAGCGTATCATCTATGATACGGCGTATCATCTATGATAAAGCGTATCATCTATGATACAGCGTATCATCTATGATAAAGCGTATCATCTATGATACGGCGTATCATCTATGGAAGGAGAACAAGTTGCTGGTGGCAGTATCTCAACCGATGCCCCAAGGAGTCACGGTTCATATGAAGAGATAGAACTGAAGCAGATCCTAAAGTTAAAACATGAAGGGGGATTCATCTCATGTTATGTCATTCCCTCATCAAAATGATATCCGAGTGTTGTGGGCGATATCAAATGTTTTTGGCCTTTACTTGCTAGCCACGCAGACGATGCATGTGATGGAGCATTGTCATGAATGAAAATTGTTGTTTTTTGAAAGACGCACACTCTTTCCTTCTTCAGCCCTTTTGCACACCTTGATACTGAGAGCTGATACATTTTAAAATCCATTAAGCAGAGGCATCAGTACAGCTTGTAGCAAGAAACGATGCCTGAAAATGACATGCGGTGTACACCTAATGTGTATGTATATGGCAAGACTAACATAAACCAATCAAAGTACAATTTTATCAAAAAAGGAAAGTTTTAAGTGTAATCTTAAAAATAGATGGGGTTGTTTGCCTCCACTAAACTCTAGGAGCTTCTAGTAAACCTGCATTCTGACACAAAATGCTCCGTTTCTCAAGCTTTTTTGGGCCAGCGCCCCGGATCCACCGTTCAGGCCCCTTATCGCCCCATCAAATAAAATGTAGGCTACTTGCACTGAATATTATTTTCTGATAAATATTTATTAATAAATATCTTATTAATAGCTCATATAAGCTCTTGATTTTTCACTGTTCACTGTAAATCAGCAACAGATTCTCTGTTTTCATATCCTTACTCACATCTAGTTTGTTGCTCTTTTCTATTTCCCAGTTTTCCTGTTTCTGAGCTTTTGCAACATGCATGTCTTTTTTTTGTTAACCCACTGTCCGAGTTGCTGTCGGGGACCGATAGAAAGACTGATGTAAACCTTTTACAACAACAAAAAAAAAATCCGGTAAACTGATAAGTGAGATTTTAAGTACCATTGCATACAGGTGTTCTGACCGCTTACAGGAGTAAGTATTAAAAGTTGCCTTAAAAATGCTCTCATTATTTGGTAAGGAATGAATTAGTGATCCCAATTTATCTAAAACGGTTTATTCTGATTTCACGGCACCATAGGTGACCCCAAAAACTAATCTGAATGGAAGTAAAGAGGTAAAAAAAGGAAAGATGAAATAATGTTTCAGTCTTCAGGATTTGAAGGAATGGGTCAAGATTACAGCCAAAAAAGCCATGCAACTTGTTTCTCCATATAGTGAAGCTGTCATCAGCAAGAAAGGCTGTTTATGCAACATATTCCATTCATTTCAGTTCAATACCTTTCCTATGTCTCTTCAATGTATTATACATTATTTAATTTCCTATTATTTGATCATTTGCATGAGTGGATTGGATAGATCAACATTTGGTGAGAATTTAGTCAATTGCACCTTCAGAAATGAATTGATTTAGACAATTTGTGACATGTTCAACACTTCTTTCTTTATGTGATCTAGAAAGAAACGTTGCTCTGAAATAAAAAACAAAACAGATTATTGAGGCCAAGGCTAGTAAAGTTTGATACAATCTAACATTTAATAAATACATTGATCTACTTAAAGGTCTCTCTCAAACATTTTTCATAGCTGTAAAACTGTATTTTAATTTGATATTAAACCTCAACTTTACCTTGGGTAAAGTGTTGCTTTGGGTCATCCTTTGCACAAGGATCACATGTCTAGTCAAGCTCTTTATTTATTTCTTTATTTTCCCTAAAGTGAGAATACTAAGTTTTCTGGCACATTGCATATGGCTACATAATTGGAAGCTTCAAGCTTTTATTTGGTTAAACACCAAGTCACAGATATTAGGTGACGTGTATAAATATTTATACCAGCATGAAACATATTAAGTTTGGGAATGATTTGGTTTTGAAGTTTCATTTGCATTGGACTATTCTATCACCTAGAACAGGGCTGTCAAACTCATTTTCATTTTGGGTCAGAACAAAACCATGAACGTCCTCATCAGGGTAGGTCTTTTTTTTAAGCTTACAGGCCCTCTAATTTTTTTAACAAATCATAAATGGAGAAATACGGGTTTTTCACTCTTCATATGCTTTGATAATTAATTAAGAATTTATGTCTGTGGCCAACCTGAAATTCGGTCAAAATTATTCACCAAAACATAACCTGCTCTGACGTTTTGGGACATGTCTGCTGCCTCTGCATTAACTGCAGGCCGGGTGGGCCGGGCGCCGGCCGGGCGCAGGCAGGCCGGTGGGCGCCGGCAGGCCGGGTGGGCCGGGCGCCGGCAGGCTGGTTGGGCCGGGCGCTGGCCGGGCGCAGGCAGGCCAGGTGGGCGCCGGCAGGCCGGGTGGGCCGGGCGCAGGCAGGCCGGTGGCGCCGGCAGGCCGGGTGGGCCGGGCGCCGGCAGGCTGGTTGGGCCGGGCGCTGGCCGGGCGCCGGCAGGCCGGGTGGGCGCCGGCAGGCCGGGTGGGCCGGGCGCAGGCAGGCCGGGTGGGCGCCGGCAGGCCGGGTGGGCCGGGCGCAGGCAGGCCGGGTGGGCGCCGGCAGGCCGGGTGGGCCGGGCGCCGGCAGGCTGGTTGGGCCGGGCGCTGGCCGGGCGCCGGCAGGCCGGGTGGGCGCCGGCAGGCCGGGTGGGCCGGGCGCTGGCCGGGCGCCGGCTGGGCTGCCAGCAGCTGGCTGAGCGCTTCAGGTTTGGTGAACCGGTGAGAACGCCTGATTCTTGACACTGTTTTAAAAACTCCTTCTAGCTTTCCCCAATGAGTGGAAATTAAACACTGATATAATTAAGACATTAATATCTAGTTGTAAAATGTTTGTTTTACTTTTTTGAATATTAATTAAACATAATTAAAATGAAAAATGTCATTTTTAAAATTGTTTGGTAAAACAGAGGATTTAATTTATTTGTATGAATTTATTAATTTATTCCTGAGCAAATCAGCTTGATTGACTAAAGTTAAGTTTCAAACATACTAGTTTTATTGAACTGTAATGGTTTATCCGAGTTTTGAATAATACTCAAAACACAGATGCTTGTGTTTTGAGTATTATATTTGAAATGGAATAATTTGCTTCTATTTATTCCTGGTAGAAATACATGTTTGAACATTTTAGAATCAAACTAACAGATTTCTTTTTACTATAAAAGGTGAAGAATAATCAGGAGTAACACACGACTGACAAACAAACTTCAGCTCATTGTGGGTTTTTCTTCGCAGCTCTTTGCTTCATGTTGTCACGGTTTCTAGTTGGTGAAGGCCAGACCTGTCCGAATTCACAGCTTTTGTATTCCGGTCTTAGTTTATTGGAAGGATCCAGATTTTGCAGATTTTGAATTGGGACACAGCTGAAATATTTAGCAGCTTCCTTCAGATGTAGCCATAGAAACAGCAATGCTTCTCTGCAGGTACAATGGTGACGATGAACATGGAGAGTCTGCAGAGCCTCACATCAGATGGAGCCACTCTGGCAGTGCAGCAGGTAATGCTCGCAGGCCACAGTGAAGATGAGTCGGGTGACAGTGGGGAAGATGATGACGACGCAGACATGAGCGTTCTGGGGCTGGACAACAGCGACTCGTTGCAGTAAAAGCTGACACACTGACCTACACATACTCAGAAGGCAAAGGGTTTACACCGAGCACAAAAGCACAGAATGTCCATGGATAGTCCTGTGCTCTTCCAGCTGACCTCAAGTCTGCGCTGCGTGTGTGTGTACTTCAGAAGTTTCACTTCAGAAACAGTTTTTTTTAACAAGTTTATTCGTGTAGGCGAGTGCACTTTTTTTGTATATTTAAGCTGAAAAGATGAAATCAAGCAGAAAATACGTGTTGAAAACACAAGAAACAAGTTTGTATGCTCTGTTATTAATAGACTTTCTTGGTTTTTTGAATTATTTTGCTTTTTGATCTCTTTTTTGGATGCCAACACATAAGTTGTATATGTAATGGTTTGTCTTCATTCTTTGCATGCTTGTGTTTTCAGTAGATGTACGCATTCGTCAGACTTGCTCTCCAGTACTCATGTGAGCAGAGTGAGAGGAAAAAAAAGTAGATATGCTTATTTTTCTATACAAACATAACATTAGTGTTTTTTGTTTTTCATTTTTGTGTTATGTTTTGTAAGGAATGTTTATGTACAGATTCCTAATAGCAGGCCTGTTTTTCAGGGTTCCTTAAAGTTTTCTAAAAAAATGGAATGGTGATGAACATTGCTATTGAAATTGATTTTTAAACTCAAAAGACCAAGTAACATGGCCTTATTATGTTTTCCTTTCATAGACCTTTTGCCAACAAGCACAAACAATGTTGACCCTTTGGAAAATTAATGAAAAGACACTAAACTGCAGAGCAAAGTTTAAAAGATAGACTTTGTGTGTTGCAGCCAGATAGATATCTGAAGAAATAATCATGCAAAGTCAATTGGTTGTTGTGCTCATGTTTTCTTTTAATCCAACTCCTGGTTGCCCATATTGTGTATACTATGCATTACGTATTTGAATCATTTCACAGTTGTACCCTTGGCATGACCATGTCAATTGCACAATCAAGAACACTATGCTAACTACACAATCACAGGGTGAGAGACTGAAATCTGTGGAAAAACACACTCCACATCGGATCACACCAACAAGCAGCAGAGGATGTTTTGGATGCATTCAGCTTTTATTTCTTTTTGATGAATCTACTCCATAGATTAAGGAAATTCAGTTGAAGAAGAACTGGAAGGAAAACACCTTCATTTGTCTTCTGTCACTGTTATAGTGAAGTATTCAAAATGTCTTCATTAAGCTGTTACGCCACAAATTGGGGTGGACATTGTTTAAATCATGGTAAGCCTGTGCTGAACAATAGTTAAGCGATCTAGTTTTCATCAGTCTTGTTAGACACTTGGCCCATGACAGCTGTTCTTCATTTGGGTTTGTTCACCACGATCTTGTCTGTTTTTCCTTAGAGGTTTCTATTTTGGAATAAAGAATGCCCAACTCTCTCCTGTTTGTCTTGTTCATATGTTCACCTTATTAAAGTATAGTAGATCATTTTGTCCCACTTCAAAAAATGTTAAGTTGTTTGATCTGAATGTTTCTGAAGCAAGGATGTTGGTCAGATCTTAATTTTCAATGATGTGTTGTAGTTGGCAGACTCCAAGCCTCTTCTCTCTGAAAGAAAGAAAGAAATGGAAAGTGTTTATTATGACCTATGCATATCCAGATTAGACATGTTTTATATTTCCACAAATTTCTATAGTGTGGTGCTTTATCTGCAGCATTAAAGCAGTTGGTTTCAGTTGTTTTGTTTGTTTCTTTTTGTTTGTTTGTTGTTGAACTAAGGCTGAGAATATGGGAGGGAAAAATCCTATTGTTTTGGGGTTTTAAGATGTTTAATCTAAAAATGTTATTTCTGCCTGAATGAATGAATGCACAAATGAGCATACCATATCACAAATCCATTTCTGGCAAATTAGTAAAAATTGATAAGTTGATTGTGTCCTGGTCTTGCTGTAGTTTTGAAGAATAGCCCTTTAATAAGTAGAAGTAATTTCAAAATGAATCAACGATAGCGGCTGTGATTTCATCTAGCTGTAGACAGAAAAAGTCTCCAATGAGGTTTGCTTTTCACATAAAATGAACGTTTGAAAGTAACAGGTAATAAAGACATTTTGTTAAGCCTGCATTTCTTTTTTAGAAGTGTTTATATGTCCAAAGTAAAACTCTAAGCTTTATTTTTGCAGAAATTCTTTCTTTTGAGCAAAGGCTTGAAAATAACAGTTTATGTTGAATTATTCTTTGTGTTTTACTAATTTGAGTTCCTGAAATGACTGAATTCACAAAAATATTCTACAGGCACATCTTTACTGAGATGTTCCTGTGGAATCAAAAGTTCAGAAGGTTACTGGTCGCAGGGGGAAGCAGGTGAGCCAGAGACGAGGCCCGGTCCTCCATGCGGCTGTCAGCCACAGGTTTGACTCTCGGCCTGTTCGCTGTTGCCTCATGCTTTCTCCCTCTCCCATAATCCACTTTCTAGTCACTTCACTGCCAAAGGCCAGTATGAACAATTTTCATCAGTTTTAGTTGTGATTTGGCATTAACATAAAAGTGTGTGTGGAGAGGGGGGAGGAATGGAGGAATGTATTTTTTTTTCGAGTCAAGCAATAGTGTGGGGAATTTATTAGTACTTTGTTGATGGATGGAAACATCACGTTCTTATTAAACATTTTGGCTTTACATACTATTAACTGTTTTCTTATGAGAAAGAAGTTCAGTTTAAGAACAATTTTCAATTGTTCAGCATAAATTGTAATTTTCAAACATATCACTTGCATTCAGCAATAGTAAACTCATAAACGGGTTCGGTCGTAACACAAAAACAAAACGTTTCAACTAAAACGTAAAAGTGTTTGCGTGTCATACTAACTCTGTTCAAAGTTTCATGAAATGCAGTTGTTGGGCTTACATGCTAAAATCATTTGAATGATTCATTCCCAGGTTTGGATTAACTCACAAAAAGTTTTCAATACTGCTTTTCTAAACATTCTGCTTTTAATTTTGAATACTTACATTAATCTTCACACAGAAACCAAATTCTTTCACAAAAAACAAATGCTATCAGAGTCCAAATTATTAGCCCCTTAAGAAATGAAATATTTTTTTAGCCAAAGCATAAACTCTGATTGTGAAATCATGTGATTCAACTATGTAATGCTCACAATTTGTCTTCAATCAATCAAATCAAATCAAATTTTATTTGTACAGCACATTTCAGCAACAAGGCATTTCAAAGTGCTTTACATCATAAACAAAGTCATGCATCATAGAATAAACGATACATTGTTCCATATTACATTTCAAATACAATTCTAAACAGGTGTGTGTTAGTTGAGATTTAAAGGAAGTCAGGGTTTCTGCTGTTTTACAGTTTTCTGGAAGTTTGTTCCAAATTTGTGGTGCATAGATGCTGAAAGCTGTTTCTCCTCTCTTGGTTCTGGTTCTGGGATGCAGAGCAGAACCAGAACCAGAACCTGAGAGTCTGGAAGGTTGATATAACAACAGCAGATCTTTGATGTATTGTGGTGCTAAACCATTCAGTGATTTATAAACTAACAATCAAGTTAAAACTAAACTAGCCTTAATTTCTCAGAACAAGATTAGCCTGACAAATTTCATCCGAAAGTTCTTTTTTCTGACCATTTTAAGACTAACTTAATGCACAAATCAGAAAACAATTCTGACCCTTGTCAATGCAAATTAATATTGGCTGGTTCAATATTAAGGTGGCCTTTTTTGATGGTCACCATCAGAAACGGTGGCCTAGGTGACACACTAGGAATATCTCATGATGAAGGACTTGAGACTCTTGCTATGTTATTGTTGCAAAACATTTTGATAGATTTCTAAACTTCTGAATAATAATGGAAAGAAATAACATTATTCGATCACAAACCGGCCACAACCAAGTGTTCTTCGCAAGATTTCTGACAGAGGAGTGAAAGGAATTCTCCAAAGAATTCTCCAAATCTTGCAGAGAGCTTGGAATTGGCTAGTACAATTGTTTCAAAGAAAATAATAAGTAATTAACTAAATAGCCATGTATGAATGCTCATCATACCAGACTCCATTTATGAAGAAGAAATCTGAAGCTTGTTTAAAGTTTGCTGCACAACATTTGAACATACCTGTAAAAACTGGGAGAACATATTCTGTCCATTAATTAACAACTAATACAAAATTTAACTCTTTGGATGTCATGACACATCATGTTTGGAAGACCATAGGGCCCGAGGAAAACTTTGGTTTTGGGTCCCTCTCTTTCTGCTAATAATGTGAATTGCTGCAATCAACAGTCAGACGATTAGATCATTGACACACCTGTTACAAACCTACTGCATCTCTCACAGTGCTGTTCCATTATGCCCTATATGTACAGTATGTATAATATAGGATAGGGTTATTACCCAGCCAATTTTTCAGCATAAATTTCCTCAACTTTGGATGATACTTATGACTTTTTGTATTGGTTGATCACCAATCGGATACTTACAGTCATATCAAAAGTTTGGGCACCCATATTATTCTTAATTATTTTTATTTCCAAATATTTGGGTATTTGGAACAGCTACTTCAGTTGACACATATATAATAATTAATGGGCACAGTAATATTTCAGTATTGAAATGAGGCTTATTGGACTAACACAAAATGGGCAATATGATTCAAACAAATTTACACAGGTGCAAAAATTTGGGTGCTCTTACCATTTTATTGATTTGAATACCCTTAATTACTTATCATTTCTTTATTGAAACACAAAATTAGTTTGGTAACCCCATTAAGCTTTCAACAAAAGGTGTAGCCAATTATGAGAAAAGGCATTTATGTTGCCCAATTATAAGATAAACATCTTTCAATGTTCATCTTGCAAACAGGAAACTGCTATTTGAATCTCCTCTGAAGAATGGCATCACAGGGACCTCAGAACAACTTGACATAAGCTGTCAAGCATATATGTCAAAAAATATATATTTTTTATAAACGTTACATACTACAGCTTTAAGGTGTAAATTCAGGACTAATCCTAAAACAGACTGAGTTGTTTTCCATACTCACTTCCATCTGTCGGCGGATCCAGCCCAGTGCCTTTGCGATGCTAGTATAAACTCCTGGTTTGTTCCTCTCAGCACAGCCAATCCCCCAACTAGTCACCCCAACAAGCTTCCACACGGATGAGTCTTCACATGCAAGTGGACCCCCACTGTCCCCCTGTGAAAATGTACATGCAAAAATAGATGTGAACCTCTCATTCAATTCCTACTACTTCACTTACTGATACTCCTCGTATGACTCTAAGAATTGATAAAGATCTCTCACAGCAATGAAAATGGATGAAAGTAACGCACAAGTCATACTGTTTAATCTTTTTACATGTTCTGTGTGGTTTTTTTTAGGTTTTATTGGCCTTTATTTGAAGGTAGGTAATGAGAGGACTCCAGGACAAATAAAATAAGAACTTGTATGTTATACCAATCTGCCTGTCAAAATGATGTTGGCTAGATTGACAGGTCAAACTGCTTCTGTTTTATTTCTTGTTAAGCCAGTTTCCCTTGCTTTGCTCTTAGTGTTTCAGACAAACCAAAAACACAAAATTGCCCAGAATTATTCCAAGTTCTACTGCTGCAGAAGAGTTTAGCGACTCTACAATGGAATACTTACTACTTTAGACCAACATTTAGCTTTATACTGACTAATAGAATTAAACATGGCGAACCAACATTTACTTTTATCAACACGAGAATCCAGAGAAACCCCTACTAGTTCATAAATTATGGACTATTTAGCAGAGAAACCCCTACTAGTTCATAAATTATGGACTATTTATTTTTTTCTTATTCAACATGAGGAACCCAGTTTTATACTTTTACTTTTTTTTTTTCTTTTGGTTTTGTTTTGTTTGTAATTCCTTCTCATTCTTGAAAAGAATGAGAAGGAATTTATTTATTTTTATTAAATGTGCTACATAAATAAAATTACATCATCTACCTAAAGTCGATGGCAGAAAGCTGCTGTTGGAGTCACCCACAATACAATAATTTAGCTTTCCTAACCTCTTTGCTAAGCCTCCTTGTATTTTGCCTCCTTGTAGCGGTCTCCCTCCCATTCCCAAATGCTGTCTTAAACTCAGGCAGCCAAAGCTTCCCTCAGTTTAAGGCAAAGCTGCCTGAGTTTACCTGTGAACCAAGACTTATGATTGTATACCCCGGTGCTTTTTTCTATCCTCAAAGAAATTGATATACGAGATCACAGCATCAGTAAACTCATCCAAATTATCTGTAGCCGCCCTGAACATCTCCCACTCTGTGGAATCCAGACAGGTATGTAGCTCCTCCATAACCAATTATTTGACATCTCCCTTGCAGGGTTGACAAGGTTCATCCTCTGCCTGTAAGCAGGGATCAGATGAACCATTACATAGTCTGAAAGTCTGAGAGCTACTTGAGGCACCATCTGATAGGCTCCACCCAGTAGTATGAGCTGGTGAAATTAGGGTCAAACCAGCCACAACATATGTTTTGGAGTCTTTATTCCCACACCTCTCCTTGGGCTGACACCTTATGGTGGAGGGGTTTGAGGGCCCCAATGATCACAAGAGCTATGCTGTCTGGGGCTTCTTGCCCCTGGTAGGGTCACCCAAGAAAGACAGGTCCTAGGTAAGGGACCAGACAAAGTGCAGACCCAAGACCCCAATGATGAGAAACAACTTTGGACTTGGTGTTCCCTCGCCTGGATGCAGGTCACCGGGGCCCCACTCTGGCGTCAGGGCTGGAGGGGGGGGGAACAATAGCGAGCACCTGGTGGTTGTTCATGGTAAACATGAAGAGGAAACCCGAAGAGGAACCTGAAGAGGAAACATGGGTGCCCCTCCCATGGGCCCACTACCTGTGAGAGGGTGCAAAGGAGTCGGGTGTGATGAAAGATGGGTGGCAGCCAAGGAAGGGGGCCCTGGCGGTCCGATCCTTGGTTGCAGAAGCTAACTCTTGGGACATGGGATCTCACCCCTCTGGTGGAGAAGGAGCCAGAGATATTGTGTGAAGTTCAGAGGTTCCGGCTAGAAATAGTAGGTCTCACCTCGACGCATGTCTCTGGTTCTGGAACCAGTCTCCTTGAGAGGGGCTGGACGTACTTCCACGCTGAAGTTGTCTGCGATGAGAAGCGTCGGGTAGGAGTGGGGATACTTGCTGCTCCCCATCTCAGTGCCTGTATATTGGGGTTTACCCCGGTGCATGAGAGGGTAGCCTCTCTCCGCAGACGAGTGGGGGGATAGGTTCTGACTGTTGTTTGTGCTTCTGGGCCGAACAACAGTTCAGATTACCCAGCCTTCTTGGAGTCCTTAGAGGGGGTACTGGAGAGTGCCCCTCCTGGGTATCCCTCATTCTGCTGGGGCACTTCAACGCTCACGTGGGCTACGACAGTGAGACCTGGAGGGGCGTAGTTGGAAGAAATGCTCCCCCTGATCTGAACTCGAGTGGTGTTTTGTTGTTGGACTTCTGTGCTCGTCACAGATTGTCCATAATGGACACCATGTTCAAGCATAAGGGTGTCCATATGTGCACTTGGTACCAGGACACCCTACGCTGCAGTTTGATGATCGGCGATGTCATTGTTTTGTTGGAACTGCAAACGTATGTCTTGGACACTCGGGTGAAGAGAGGTGCAGAGCTGTTCGCCGAAGGGTGTCAGAAGATCACAGTCATGTTGCTACACCAGCCATTGTCTATGCAGAAACATCCACCTCCTCCTTTGGTCTTGCTGGAGAGCTTTGAGTCATGGTCTGAAGAAATTCCTTCCAGTGTAGAGCATTGACTGGAATCTGACCACAAAGCCAAGTCTTTGTGAAGCACAGTGCACAAGAGGAAGAAAAGTTTCTGTTTCTACTTATCAGCAGGGCCAGTCCATCCATTTTCTTGCTGAGTTAGCAAATGTTAGAGAGGAAAATCCTAGGTAAAGGTATCTTGCTTGGCACCACTTTTGCGATGCTGAGCAAGAACCTCTGCTCTCGATCTTTAGTGGTGACTTGCTCTTTTAGTCAAGAGATATGCTAAATCTGCTGCAGATGCTACAAAGATTGGTAATAAATACAAAGAAATAGTATGTCTAATAGCTCTTCAAGGTATTTACACATAAAAACAAGCAAGGCAGAGAGCACCAAAACACAGATGTAGCCATTTGCGGCATCATGGAAATAGAAGCAATAACTAACTGCATAAGAAGAAGGCAATATGTTTTTTGTAATACTGCTGTTTTCCATGTTAAATGGAAACAACCCGAACCTGACAGGAGTCAATTCCTCCTTCCAGATATCCTGCACATATCATCCAAGAAGAGATTAGGCCTTTGTAAACATCTGCATGGTTGCAGGTCTTGGTAGAGATGAGCGGTATCATAGCTGAGTGAAGAACATCACTGGACTCTCCTAGCAACATTAGTTAAAAAATGAAAAGCAAATATTTAGAGATATTTAACTAGACTAGTCAAACTCATAACATTGAAATGTAACATTACGTAGGAGACTGGATTGACAAACCACACAGACTTACCATCTTCCTCTGTGGCTCCCCAACCAGATATCCAGCACATTTCACCTTCTGTAATCTCCTCTCCATAGTTAGGCAAACAAATGGGTTCCACAAGGCCTATGGAAAACGTGTATATCTCAGAGAATTTGACAGTATTTACTGTATGTTTATCTCATGTGTTTGGATTACATGCACACCAGCAAAATCTATATAGCATTACTTCTCAACAGATGTAGTCTCAAGGTAAAAGAAAACCCCCAAAGTAATACAGTCAATCAACACAGCAAATGTAGCAACAGTTCTTATGCATAGATTTTTACAATGTTGACTAAAATGAGTCAGAACACACTAGCATTTCATTTAATCAGAAATTAGGTTTGATAGAAGGATATGATAAAGAGAAAAGCTCAACCACTTTTGTTAAAATGCTAACTGGCAGTTAACAAGGATCAAGAAAACAAAGTGCATTTGCTTTTCAATCGAGAAAATGTCATTACAGTCCTTGAACATCCAGATCAACGGGGACCCTACTGAGCAAGTATCACAAGAAAAACATTTAGGATGCTCAGTTAAATTTTAGGAGCCATGTTGATAAAATCAACAAAACTGCTAGATCAAATACTATAAACTGTTATAAAATTAATAGAAATTGTTTAACACTTCACTGTGCAGTGATGTTCTTGAACCCAAAGATCCTCTCACATTTTCCTGTGGAGCGACCGACTAGAACAGGGGTGCTCAAGTCCAGTCCTCCAGAGCTACCATCCTGCAACTATCAGATGCATCCCTGCTCCAACACACCTGAATCAAATGAATGAACCAGGCCTGTTCATAGCTGAGCCTGGTCTACTGGAGTAAGGCTGCAACTAAAAGTTGCAGGACGGTAGCTCTCGAGGACTGGACTTGAGCACCCCTGGACTAGACTATTCAAACTCAAACCATTAGCAACTTTCTATAATCAGGCTTCAAAGGTTTTTTCAATCAAAAGCCAATCAGATTCCATCAGTCACATTTTGGCTAAATTTGGCATTTTGGACTTTCCCGATTTTATAAAGTATAGCATTTTAAAATATGCAGAATATGCACATACACCATTAAGCGATGGCATAAAGAGATTGCAGGGCTGTGTCATATCCACAGACTGGTGTGCGTTTGGATTTCTGCTCTCTACTGTTCCTCCTCCTCTGCAGGGTGTAATGAGCAGCTGCGGCTTCCAGGTGTCATGCATTCCCCTCATCAAGTAGCAGGTCTTAGAGGAGTGGATTCCCAGGGATGCCAGATGGTTGACTAGTACTCTTGGTACTACTGCGGTCGCTGTGTCTTCACAGACAACTTACTACTGGTCTTATTTTTGATCTCCTCCTTCCTTGTAGGTAGTGATGGTGAGATGAAGCCTCATGAGGCATTGAACCACTTGAGCCAACTGGTTCAGGAAAGGGTTCATTTCTTGAAGCTTCATGTGCTCACGAAACCACCTACTGGCCAGGTGTATAATCACAGCCAGTTGTATCTTAACACGTGTGATGCATTGAATTTTTGTCTATTATGGCTCTTGGGAATGACGTCACAAAAGGTGTAGGATGAAATCATTTGTCTAAATTATGTATATACATATGTGTATAATAAAATATTTTTTGAATGTATTCTCTGTGTGTAATTTTTCCCAAAATAGAAGTGTCATGTGATATGGCATGTTGTGTAATAATGTTTTTCTCTGACTCTAGAGAAATGGCTTAATCAGGCAGAGGACAGTGAAAGTGCTTGTGGAACTAGGGAGGGGGTAGTGAATAGACTAATGCTTGTGTTATTATTGTACCCCGACTCCCGGAATGCACAATAAACACCTCACCTTTAAATAAAATAAGAAACAGTGACAAATACAGTTCCTCATAAGCAAAGCTAATGCATCTGCAAATGTTTAGTTCACCTTACCTTGTTAGGGCTTAAGAAATCAAAATGTTCCCACATAGGTGAAATCCTCCTCTTTCTCGCCGGCTTCATCCTATTCCTGTCTATCTATCTATCTATCTATCTATCTATCTATCTATCTATCTATCTATCTATCTATCTATCTATCTATCTATCTATCTATCTATCTATCTATCTATCTATCTATCTATCTATCTATCTATCTCTCTCTCTCTTTCTCTCTCTCTCTCTATTTCTCTCTCTCCAAACACCAAACTAAGTGTCTCAAACTAAATAACCACTATCCAAACTGTTTTCCAAACTATCAAACCTCTATCCATTCTCTAACTGACTGCAACTCGCCTACAACAACTCACATTTTGAATGGAGCCTGTGGGGTTTATAAAGCTGTCAAACCACTTCCTGAAGCAGTCACATGGTACAGCCGGGCAGCAAGGCCTCGGACGTCATCGTTTTCGGCTCCTCCCCTAAATGAAGCTAGCCTCGATACGCGCTTTACGGAAACGTCCCCTCCATTACTGACACACGCTCCGAAGCCTCAGCACGTCACATAACATCACTACTTGTAGGTATCCAGCGACATGCTCATTCATGGGCCCAGAAATTTCCTCCTGTGGTGTCTGTCTCTTGTCCTCCTCACTCTGAAACATCTGTGGCTCACCTCCAGTCCTCACCTGTCTGTCCACCCTTCTACTGTCCATCTCAGCCAACCACTGGGGCTGTAGATGCTCTGTGCCGCTCCTTGTTTGCCTCCCCTGCTTCGTAAAGTAATTCAGACTATTTCCTCCGCACAATTGATTATCCTGTCACTCCTACTAATCGTCTCCCTTTCTTCCAGTGAGTGTCTGGCCTGGATTTGATGCTGTTCCCCTGCTGAAAAAATTATTCAAAAGCTTTTGTTTAAATACAAGTCTTAACTGTGCTATCCCTATTGTTCTTAGTTCTTGCTCATCCAGGATCATGACAGAACCATCTGGCCACCACGACTCTGCAGCAGAATTACGGGCAGCATTCTCTGAACAGGGAATCCTCTTGGGATGTCATGACATTGCAATTGGTGCCATCTCCCAGCAACAGGGCTCAAATATTCAGTCTCTTAACCGGATTTCAGATCAACTACAGTGGATGGAGGTTGCGCCCCAGCCTCCGCCTCCACTGGTTCCTGCACCAGTGTCTCCCGACACGTCCGCTCTCCACGCCAGAAGAGATGTTGCTTCGGCCACTCTGGAGCCGTTCGCTGGAGAGCTGGATAAGTGCAGAGGGTTTTTACTCCAATGCACACTTGTCTTTTTTGTCACTCCCCTTGATTCTTCCCTGACGACTCAAGCAAAATTTCTTATATTATTGGACTTTTAAGGGACAAGGCTTTGAGGTAGGCAGAAGCTCTTTTTGATGAAGCAGCTATTCACAGTTCGTCTTGAACTGAGTTTCTCGAACAGTTTAAACAAACATTTCATCCAAGTGTTAGTGAGGAAGAGGCTGCTAAGAGACTTTGGAGCTTAAAACAGGGGAACAGATCAGTGGCTGAATTTGCCATTGTCTGATGGCAGACTCAGGGTGGAATCAACCAGCACTGAAGGGGGCGTTGCACCATTCACTTAATGAAAAGATTATGGATGAAATGGCCTGGAGAGATGAACCTGCTGGGCTAGATAAACTAATTTAACTCGCTATTCGCCTAGACACCAGACTTAGGGAAAGAAATAGAGACTGTCGCCAACTTCGTCATCTCGACCTATAGAACTTTGGAGCTGACGTCACTGCATGAGACGTTTACATCGCTCGGCACCATGTTGTTTGGCCACAGACCAAAGCAAACTTTTTCCAATGTTTTCATTGTGTTACCGATCGCAGTGAAGTTGTTTTCATGTTGGATATTGGATATCTGCGCTCCGCGGAGTAAGGGGCGTTTAGCTCATTTATGAACGCTGATTAAGCGGAAAAAGGTTCTGGGCTATCAATGATTTCAGGAACATAACCCCAAGATTAATTGAACCCGCATAGAGTCCTGGAATCCCCAGTGCCTCAGTAACTGCCTTCTGTCAGCCATCTCTTCTAAAAATACTGTTTCACTTATAGAACCGACTCCATCTGATCTACAAACAGGGAAGTTAAGCCCAGTTCACACGACACGATTTTAGAAAAGTCGGCCGATTCTGAAAACGTGAGAGAGAGACCACACACTAGGCGATTTAAAATGTAACGGGTTCGATCGTAGAGTGTGAGGTTTCACTGGAACATATTCTAATTCCAGATATGAAATCCCTTCAAATTTAAATTCTGTGCTGAATTTAGAGTAAACAAACAAACATGGACAACGACGTTGAAGCGGTAACTTTAGTTTAACCCAAAAAAGACGTAACCAAAAATTAAAGCTTTGGATTAAGACTGGAGACATCGTGAGCAAGGATTATATTTGTTAGTGTGTTTCAGATGCTTTTTTTTTAACTTCCTGGCTGATTTCAATTAAAAGTAAACTTTTTTTAATGGAGCGTTTCTTAACATTCTCGACAAAAGCTCAGGAATTATGCAACTATTATAGTTGTCTGTTTATGTATAGGCTAATTTGATCATTTTTTGCTGTTTTTATGTTGTTGTACAATATATGCATATACTGTACCTTGTTTCAGAAAACGGAATGACTGAAACATCAGAGCAGCTTAAAGTAGAAGAAAGCATTTCCCGCATATTAGTTTTTAGAAAATCAGATGGCAGTTATCCTTTTTTCCCCCAACTGACTGCGAAAGCTTAACGTATTCCAGCTCCTCTAAACGAAACTTGTTGTATTGTTTAAAATTGTATTATGACTGCAGAATAAAATCAAATGTGCCATTTCAACCAAAGATTGGAATGCGCTTCTCAACCAGATGTACTCTGAGCAATAATTTTATAATTATCTTTCATTAAAAAAAAACAAGTCGGGGGAACAGCACAGACATTGCGATGAATGAGCCAACATGATTAAACACGTTCAATATCCCCGATTTTAGATCAAAGCGGTCCTGACGTTCCACCGACTGGACCCGATCAGTCCTAACCCTAACCCTAACCCTAACACACTACAGGATGATCGGTTACGATTGTCGGGAGCAACAATCTTAGAACTCTGAACGTTCTAAGATTGTTGTTATAAGGGCAAAAAATTATGTAGTGTGAACTGGGCTTAAACTAAACAGCTTACTTTCCTGCCCCTTGGTTCTTATTCCTGAAGTCATTAGATTCTCCTGTGCTATGCAGCTACACCTTGTTTTTGCATGGCTCTGGGTGTATTTTTTCCTGTATTAAGCTCTGCTCTTTCTCATTGGCTTATTTAAAATGTGCTATTTTAAATTATTATCACTTACATTTTGTAGAGGTACTTTTTAAAAACCCATCTAGAGACAAGTGCTGTGAATTAGCTGTTGCAATTGCACTATGATACAAACATGAGATAGCTGTTTTCTTCAATTTGTCTATGTCAATGTGTGTCTGTCCTTATCAAAAAACTTAACATAATGAAATCACAGGCTCACTGTTACACTGTGAAAACTGATACACTGGCTAATCCTAAACATAACTGATATTGGATTAAACACAGCATCCCAGAAAGACGCAACTTATTGTAACTAGTGGAGAAAATTGAAGGAAGAAATTAGGATTTTATTGAATGTCTATTGAAACATTCTTTGACTGGAAATCAGCAAATACGCTAAAATTGTCCCACCCAAAGACTATTGGATGTTATTGGTTTGATAAATATTTTTTGATATTCTGTGGTTATACTGAATTATTTTCTACTCATTTATTTTGGTTGATGATTAAATTTGTTTATTTTTGTTAATGAAAATTCCCTTTAAAAAAAATTATTTTCTCAAGTTATCTGTTTTTCGACTCCTTTGTAGAAAGTTTCCCTGACACAGGAACTCCTACGGCTTTGTGAACATCAAAAAGTACATAGCCACACAGACACACCCAATAGAACAAAAGAAACATTTTGAGAGGGAGCAGAAGGGATTTTGTAAGCGAGTAGAGAGGTTTATGCTTGTGGAGAGTTAAGCCATGCAAAGGGAAGTTTTGCGTGCAAGAAAAAAATCTGAGTGTCAGCACAAAGACTTAAGAGGCCACAGAATATTTGAAAGAGAGGATACATTTTGAGTTATTGCAAGTTGTGAAAACAAAGAGATGAAATTCTGCTATAAAACTGAAAATATAAGCAGAAATATCACAAGTTTTGATAAAGAAATGAAATTCTTCTTACAAACAGAAAACATGTGCTCTTCAGCAATTGCTGGCAAAAATTCCCCAAACTGATATCGGTATTTTACCCACAACTTTCCTTAAGAAATGTTGCCTGTCTTAGAGTTTGATATCATTAAAATGAAACTCATCTCTCTTACTTCTCTCCCAGCCTCCATACCTTAAGACAACCATTATCAAATAACTGTTTGATAATTGGATAAGTTGCTTTTGCAAAATTACAGGTTCATCTTAAATTCATGCTAAAAGCAGACTGAGGAATTGCTGCAAAGTTAAGAATCCAATGCAATCAGTTCACGGACCTATATGCTTGTCCAGGAGCTGTCTTTGCTACAAATCAGCGACTCAGAGCAATTTGCTGGGTTTCTTTAATGAGAAAACCTTTTTATTTTATTAATAAATTAAATATAACTGCATTGTTTGATAAGTAGAAGAAAGTGAACAGATTTGAACCAGAACTGGCATGAATAAAGTAGAAGAAAGCACGAGTTCATAAGCATAAGAAAATGTAGTCTAAGTAAAGGCTAGGGAAAAATCACCAGTACCATCAAAAACAAGCGGTTCTTGTAGCCTCATCAGTGCAATGTCATAATCCTGTCCTTTTGGCCAATACTGAGAATGCCGTATAATTCTCTTTACAGCCAGAGAATGGGCACCATGGATCAGCTGTTCTGTCAGCCCCACGTGAACCGTCCACAGGGAAGAGTTTTCAAATCTGGTCACAGAAAAAAAGACAAACAAGACATTGGATTCAAATTCTAATTCAAATGAAAAAATACTTTATCAAATGTAACTCATTCTTCAAAGAGTTCATCCTTTACTTTTTCATTTTTTTATATCCACCAGACACACGCAAATCTAGAACTCTATATCAACATTTGCCCCTTTTCCACCGGCTCGACTCGGCTTGCTTTCACAGCTTTCCCACCGGCTTCGTTTCGAGGCTGGACCTGCTTTTTAGGTCCTGCTTCGGAGCAGGGCCACCCGAAGTCCAGTGGACATTTTGTGTAAAGAATATAGAAATGACAATGGGAGGAGTTGGAGCAAAATTGCTACCCAGTAACATTTCAGCTGTTCTTTGTTAGCGTGACATAAATTGGTTATAATGATTTTCATTCAGTCAGGACTGACACTAACCACATATTGCAGGTAGATTCCAGTAAAACATTGATTAATGCCAGGTTTTAAAATTAGTTTACTGGACTAATAGCCATTATTTTGTGCCCATTGTTGGACACCACACGGCACAATCGAACCATGTGAACCGTTATTTCTGTCGGCTAATGTGTGGTCTCAGGTTTTGAAAATGTGCGGACAATGGGCCGACAGCTCTACAATGGTGCAATGCACGCTGGGTATTACACTAAGGAAATGAGGACGTGAAAGGTCAGTAGAGGCACTGGGGTTGAGACTTTTTTTATTCAATGTCATCAACAAAGAAAAAAAGGCCAGAAGAAATGATAAAGACGATAATGAAAACGAGGTCGCCCAAGGGACTCCTCACTACCAGATGCACTCAACAAGTTCTACACCTGCTTTGAAGATCCTAAAACCTCCCTCAGCACCAGACTGATACCACCACCTGGTGACATGCCTCTCTGTGTGACCACAACAGATGTGAAGAAGTCCCTCCAGAAAATCAACCTCTGTAAGCCTGCAGGCCCCGACAACATTCCAGGGTGAGTACTGAGGTACTGTGCAGATCTGTCTCAGACATCTTGACAGACATCTTTCACATCTCACTGTCACTGTCATTGTGCCCACCTGCTTTAAGACCGCCACTGTTGTCCCTGTCCCCATGTGCTCCACAGTCATGAGCCTGAATGACTACCGGCTTATTGCCTTAACATCGGTAGTGATGAAGTGCTTTGAGAGGCCAGTCGTGAACTACATCAATGACTCCATTGACGTCGCTCTGGACCCCCATCAGTACACCTACAGGAGGAACCGATCCACTGCTGACGCCATTTTATTGGTCATCCACACAGTCCTCACCCATCTAGAGAGCAGGAACTCCTACATCCATCTGCTCTTTCAACACCATCATCCCACAGAGCCTGGTGCAGAAGCTCTTCTCTCTTGGACTGAGTCCCACACTGGGGAACTGGATTATGTACTTCCTGACCAGCAGACCTCAGACAGTGAGGATCCACAACACCGTCTCATCCTTCATTAAAACTCTTCCACCAGCTCTTCTTCAGCAGCTGAGCTTGACTCTATTTTGGAGTGACCGCATTCCCATCGGCCCGACTCGGCTCTGTACCAGGGTGCCTATCTCCAACTACGTTCCAGGCGAGAGGCGGGGTACACCCTATAAATATTATATGATATATAAAATAATATACACTGCTCAAAAAAATAAAGGGAACACTCAAATAATACACACACACACACACGTAGGGAGAATTTAGAGAGACCAATTAACTTTATTTTATTTATTTTCATAGTATGTATAGAAGGACTTTACAATCTGAGGGCACAAATATAGACTGTGCCAAATACGGTTCAGAATTGTGTTATTTAAACACTCTTAAAGTGAATATTTTTGATGCATTTCAGTCTAGCATGGTAGTAAACTACTCTCTGAAGATGAGTAAATTCTGCATTTGAATCGGATACGTATTGAATACCTTAGATCCATCAGACATCCAGAGTCCTGCTGAGTCCTGCTGTTAACTTTTCTAATCTTGAATGCTCAGTAAGACATTTTTTCTATTAATCAGCCTTGACAGAATTTCAGAGAGAGTTTGATTTTATGACTTACCCATACACACAATGGGCTGCAGTAAGGATCCAGCTTGACGTTATGATGGATCCTCCACAAGTATGTTCCCTCTGGAAGTGGAGGCTGACCTGCCAGGGAAACTGACCTGGTTTGGAGATATTACCCCCCACAACTCGAGTGTTGTAATGAGGCCTCGAACCACACGCTGAGAAAAAATGCAGGACAACTACTATCAAATGATCAATTTAAAAGTCATGTTTTGTTAGTGATCTACAATCAAATTGCAAAAATATTTGAGGACTTGGGCCCCATAATAAATTCACATAGCAAAATATTAACGTAGAAAAGCATTCCAATATGTATGGATGTCAAAGTAAAGATAAAATTGATGACAAGTACGTTTCAACTCCTCATCTTTGATTTTATTAATTTTTTGTCATCTGCATAACTAATTTACTAGGCTCTCATTGAAGCTAATGTACATTGACATGTTTTCTGGATGTACAATTAATCAGTATACTCTTCTTGACAAATGCCAGTTTGCTTTTCGTTTTTCTCACCTGACAATAAAGTGGAACTTCTATTACAATTAAATTTGAATTGTATAAAGTCTGTTATGACATGTGTCTAATCCATTCTGTTAGTGGTGTTGACACCACCAGAATCAGATTTGCTGGCCAAACACAGGCTGCCTTAAGTGACTCAATTGTGATTTTTTTTGTCAAATTGGATTCTTTGATTTGGATTCTTGTTGCAGTGGTCGTTCACACCTCCACACATATGCGACTTGTATATGTTCTCCAGTGTGAACGGGCAGGCGACCTGAAGGTGTCCTGCATCCGCTATTACAGTAGAGTGTGCAAGAGCGTCAGCATTCTCAGTTTTCTGCCAACCACCATGAAAGGAAGAAGCACTCAATGTTTGCAGAAGTAAACATGGATGCTAATGGTGGAGCATAGCTCACACATTTGAAGTTGTCTGACTGGAGCATATCAACAATTCAATCCTCATTGTCGTCCATCATAGTTGTAGTTTTTCTTCCAACTTGTGCATATCAGGATGCAGAATAGTGACATTTTCAGTGATGTTCAGGTCAGATGAATGCAACCTGGACATTAAGCTGCATTTGAATCGTATACATATCAAATATCCTAGTAGCCTGTGTCGCATTCGTAAAGGATCTGACTTGTGTTGCTCAGACTAAAACATCAAATACAGGTCACATTACATAAAAAAAAATTGAATTGTGTCACTTCAGGCTTCAGTGTGAACACAGCCATATTAACTTGGCTGCAGCTTTTGGTGTCTATCTAGAGACCCACTTTTTATAAAAAATGATAAAATAGTAATTAATTTCTTCTACATAGCAGTTAAAACTGTTACCATGTCATAATATAAGAGAGGTGATATGTGAAAAACAATCCAATAAATCCATGAAGCAGTCAGACTGCAGCAGAATTTCCTTTTTTATGCACCGGCGAAATGCTCACCCCTCACAGATTATCTGTCTCACGCTCTACCATTGCAACACAATTTTTAAAAAATAATATGTTACCTGCTGCAGCTTATATTTTTAATATCCACTAACCTGTGCAATGGTGCAATAGTATTATGTAAGATCGGAAGGGATGTTTTATGTTGAGGGATACTGACTAGGGACGCTCTGATCCCATTTTTTCCTGCCATTTCTGATAAGGATCACCAATGAGGGCCGATCCCTGTCGAGCACCAATATTGATCACATGGACTGGCTCTTAATTTTTGCTTTAGGTATAAATGCTACTTTGTTATCTGGTAAAAGAAAACCATAAAATGACCAAATTTAGAAAAAACATGCAAAATACTTGCAGGCACAAGGCAGCAAGTATTCTGTCAAAAAGACAACTGAAAATATATCACTAATACAATATTTAATAGTAAGGCTCTCAACAGCCTAAAATTATACATAAAGTCAAATAATCTTACAACATTGCCTATATAATATGACAGAATGGACATGAGAAATAGTTACACCTCCTCCCTTTTCTTATTCTATTTAAAGACTTCTACTGACTATACTGTAACATCAATTGCCCATGTGGGATCCAAATAAAAAAATCTGAATCTGCATCTACTCTTAAGCTGCACTTCTACTCAAACTGCAGTTACAGCGGTTCGCCACCAGCTGGCACATAGAGCACGGTTAGCGGGCGCTCCCTGTTGCGCTTGTCTGTTAACAGTGTTTGTCAAATAAAAGACCCTGTGAAAATCACACTGATTAATCATTAAGTGTGCAACAAAAACATAATGCCAAGTAAAAATGGAATCGTTCATTAAAAATCAAATGCAACTTGCATTAAAAAACAATCCGAGGTTACTATCATTCTACAATTGAGCCGCTTTTTCAAACTCATTTTTGTCTTTTAGAAGAAAAACAGCTTTTTGGTCAACTGTTCCTTCTTGTTTGGATACTGTGTAGTTGGACTGATTTTGGGTAATACGTTTCATATTTTTTATATTTGTTATGATACATAACCATAGCAACATGTAACATTTAGGTAAATGAGCCAGAAAAGGCAAGACTGGAACACAATAACAGAGGTGAGTGATACGCCTGGATGAAAAGCAGGGAAAACCAGCAAGAGACGGATCCACCCAGAGAGGGGTGAACCCCTCTCTGGGTGGATCCATAGTGGCCAAAACTCCAGCATTGGAAGGGTTGGGTGAGCAGCCAATGGGAGAGTTTGGGCCCTTAGGTATTCACTGATGAAGACAAACATCCACCATCCAAAGCTCAGTAGTAAAAGCAGTCATGACATCACCCCCTCCTCCGGGGACAGCTTGTAATGCTCCTCTGGGTTGGTCCGGACGCTGGCGATGGAAATCACGGATGAGATCATTAGTGGATGGGAGGGTGTCCAGGATCTGTCCTCAGGGCCTTTCAGTAAAGGCCTAACAGTAAAAGCATGAGGCGGATGACCAGAGGGCATCTGTTAGGAGGGCAAAACCTGGATGACAAAACAGCTTTGAGCTTAGAGACATGGAGACTTGTCTCCAAGCTCAAATGAAGAAGGCAGTTTGAGACATATAACTGCCAGATTAATTACATTGGCAACAGGAAATGGACCCACAAAGTTTCTTGCCAGCTTGCAATTCTCTGTCCTGATGGGCAGATCCTCAGGGAATAGCCACACCCTCTGACCCACGAGTATCTTGGGGCCTACGATCAGTGGCGGTTGGCATTCCAAGCATATACAGTAGCAGTCTTACAGAGTCGCTCTGGCCCTTCTCCATATTCTGAAGCAGCACATTCTGACACATGGGCAATGGCAACCTGAGTAGCCATTTCTTGAAAGAGTACTGGATAGCCATGGACAACGTGAAATGGTGAGAGACCCGTGGCACTTTACGGTAACCCATTGATGGTGAACTCCACCCAATGTTAGTTCCATGCATTTATCCTATGCATGGAGCATCCATGCATAGGATAAATAACTTTGACTTGACCTCCTGAACCATCCTCTCTGTCAAGCCATCTGTCTGAGGGTGAAAACCTGAGTTGATGTCAATGCTGAGAAGAGTGCAAAGCTCACTCCAAAAATTGGAGGTGAAATGTATTCAGACCACATGAAGTCTGAACACTTCTTGAGACATCACATCAGTGAGTTTTGGGGGCTGAAGGGTTAGTGTTAGGTTGTGAAGAGTGATGAGACTGACCATCTTGGAAATGGGTTTGACAGATCAGGAAGCACAGGATGGTAGCTGAAGTGAAAAAGTCTTCAAGTTTCTCAAAAGAATGTTTGACCTCTGAACTTGAACTGAGTCTATAAAGAGGAGCAGTCACTGAACTGTAGTTCTTAATAAAGTGCCGAAAAAATGGGCAAACACATGAAACCATTGAAACTCCTTCACATTAGATGGCTCAGGCCAGTCCAAAACCACTGTCACTTTAGAAGGGTCCATGTTAATCTTTCCTGAAGCAATGACAAAACCTAGAAAAAATACAAAAGACATGTGGAACACACACTTCTCTTTCTTAACTATTCGTTTGTTTTGGACAAATGTAAGAAGAACCTCACTGACATGTTTGATATGACAAAATAAAACCTTTGAATAGATCAAGATGTTATCAAGGTTTGGCCTCAAAAGACCATTGTTTTCAGCAGCCAAACTGCAGTCTTATTTGAACTTCCTTCCTCTCTCCTCTTTCCTCCTGCTCTGCATCCACAATGCCTCCTTTTCAACTCCACTGGTATTTCTGCCTTTAGCTGTGATATTATTTTAGTTCTTCCAATGTTCCCTAACAAGGTGTAAACCACCTTGTTGTGTCATAATTTCAGTCTGTCTTCCAGTGCTTTTTATTCTCCCTCCCTCTGATTACTCATCATCCTCATTATAACCTGTGTTGTCCTACTCCCTATTTAAACTCCTGCTCATCACCTTCTCAGTGCAAAATCATCTGTTGCCTCTGTCAAGCTTTCAAGCCCTGATTCATGTTCCAAGAGTTTCTGTTTTTTCATCCTGTCTGCCTGTCTTTGACCATTGCTTTTGCCTAGTCCTCACTGGTGTTTTGAGAAGAGTGTCTAACCTCCCGTTGCTGAACCTTCCCTCCAGTCGACCCAATCATATTTTGGATCTTCTTTGCCTGAGTCCTTCCTGCGCTTCACACTGGGCTGTTTTTACTACTGAGCTTCGGGTGGTTGTTTGTCTCCATCATCAGCAAGTACGCAAGACAATAACCTCTTCCATTGCCTGCTCACCCACCCCTAAGAACGCTGGATTCTTGGTCACTACAGAACTCCCATTTCCCAGTAAATCTCTTTCTATTTTCCCTGGTTTTCATTTAGTCACATCCCTCACCTGTTTTGTGTTCCAGACCTGCCAGAGTATTCACACCTTGCAGGACCCCATCAACACTATCACATTGTTTCTAATAAACGTTTTTGATAATCATTCTCCTTGTCTTGGCTACATGTTGGGTCATTGCTCATTTACCTAAATATTAAGGTACGATCTTGAACAGAATGAAACCAAAGCCAAATCAAGATTGGTATTCGAAGGTTGAGGGAGCTATTACTTCCCTAAAAAGTAATGTTCAGGAGATTTGTACTGTACAAGACAGTACAGACCTTTTATGAACCAGTGCTCTCTGCATTTTGAACTCTAGCCTTCTGCCTTCCCTTCTGAAACCGGCTCTGACAACCTTGCGGCCATAGCTCCTATAAACCGCCTCAATAATGAAGGCACAGTACATGGTCCACTCAGACTCAATGTCCCCTACCTCACCCAGAACATGTTCAAAGTTCTGCCAGATATGGGAGTTAAAGCTCTGTCTTACAGGGACTCTGCCAGACATTCCCAGCAGACCATCACAACACGTATAGGTTGTGATGGTTTATAAACATGTTCAGATCAGGGGGAGTGTTCCTCCCAACCACAACCCTTTCAGGTCTCACTGTCATTGCCCAGGTGACCGTTGAAGTTCCCCAGCAGAACAAGGGAGTCCCCAGGAGGAGGACTCTGCTGTACCCCCTCCAAAGACCCCAAGAAGGGTGGGTAAGCTTGTAAGAACAAACAACAGAAACCCTTCCTCCCCACCCATCAGAGGAGGGAGGCTACCCTCTTGTTCACTGGGGGTAAATCCCAACGTAGAGGTGTTCCCTAGGATGACTTGGTGTTCCCTCGCCCAGATGCGGGACACTGTGGCCCCAATCTGGAGCCAGGCCTGGAGATCAGTCTTTGAAGTAGACCTTCAGGCTCATTTCAAAGATGGCCCCCGTGGGAGCACAATGGCTCCCACGGGGGAGCCATTGTGCCCCCTGTGTAGTGGGTGCACAATGATGAGCACCTGGTGGCCGGGCTCAGCCCTTAAAGGCAACATGGGTCTCCTCTCCCGTTGGCCCACCACCTGTGAGAGTGGCAAAAGAGGTCAAGTGCAGTGTGGGATGGGTAGTGGTTGCAGAAGCTGGCTCTGGGGACATGGAATATCACCTCTCTGGTGGGTTAGAGTTACTAACCCCAAATTAACAGTACTCTTCAAGTGAATTCTGCATGACACAAGGGAGAACAATGCCTCCTTGTGAGCTACAATTTTCGTCATGACTATGTTCCGTAGATCCTTTGAATTTGATCCTTTAGATCGGAGAGTCTTAATGTCAGATGAGGAAATGGCCAGCTCCCAGCTGTTGTCACAAAGTTGGGACCATAAAATCGTCCAAACTGTCTGGGTATGCTAAAGCATTCAGTTTGTTTCATTGGTACAAAGAGGCTCCTGAAAAACAACCCCCCACCAAATTTAATATTTGGCACAATGCAGTCAGACAAGTACCGTTCTCCTGGCAACCACCAAATCCAGACTTGTCCATCAGATTGCCAGATAGAGAAGCATGATTCGTCACTCCAGAGAATGCATGTCCACTGCTCTAGAGAGGACATACCATGATTTCTTTATTTAAATCATGGTGTGGTTTACACCAGTGGTCTCCAACCCCCAGGCTGTGGACCGATACCGGTCCATGGATCAATTGCTACCAGGCCATGCAAGAAATAATTAAATACTTCTGTTTCATGTATTATTTGAGTCTGGAGGATATTTTATTTGAAAATCCTTTAACCGGCTTGTCTCTGTTATGTCTTGCACCAACATTGAACCCACAGCAGCAAAATGAGTAAGAAACAAATCAGATGTCTTTGGAAAGTTTCTTTGTGAAGGGAAAAGGCCCAGAGAAGAGACAGGAGAATTATTATATGGTGACCGGCTGGTTAATGAGGCAATGAAGCTTCAAACTCTTTCGCCAAGTAGAGACCGAGCACCCTGTGTATAAGTAACACTTCAGGTGTCATTGTCTCTCATCACTCCAGACAGGAGAAACAATAGTCATTATTATGAGTTAAAATTTTCATGAAAGTAAAATGTTTGTTTTATGTTTGTTATGATGAATGCTAACAATGGACTCGGTATTCCCTTGCCTAACCATTGCCTGGACGCGGGTCATTGGGGCCCCACTCTGGAGCCAGTCCTCAAAGTGGGGCACGTTGGCGAGCACCTGGTGGCCAGGCTTTAACCTGACATGGGACCCCCTTCCAATGGACCAAGGGGTCGGGTGCAGTAAGTGCTATGTGGCAGTCCAATCCTCAGCTGCAGAGGCTGGCTCTTGGGACGTAGAATGTCACTTCCCTGGTAGGGAAAGAGCTAGTGTGTGAGGTTCTGGCTAGAAATTGCCGGTCTTACCTTGATGCATGGCTCTGGTTCTGGAATGAGTCTCTTTGAGTGGGGTTGGACGTACTTCCTCTCTGGAGTTGTTCACGGGCAGGAGTGGGCATACTTGTTGCCCCCCATCTCGGTGCCTGTACATTGGGGTTTTCCCCGGTGAACGAGAGGGAAGCCTCCCTCCGCCAGTTTCTTGTTGTTGTTTGTACTTGTGGGCTGCATGGCAGTTCAGATTACCCACCCTTCCTGGAGTACCCCTCCAAGGGTAGGGGATGCTTGAGAGTGTCCCTCCTGGGGACTCTTTTGTTCAACTGGGGGACTTCAACGTTCACCTGGGCAATGACAGTGAGACCTGGAGGAGTGTGGTTGGGAGGAACGTTACCCCCAATCTGAACTCGAGTGGTGTTCAGTTGTGCTCAAGGGTGCAAGGGAGTTCGCCCAACCGGTCTACATGTGGACTTAGAGAAGGCATTCGACCGTGTCCCTCGGGGAGTCCTGTAGGGGGTTCTCCGGGAGTATGGGGTACCGGGATTGATACGGGCTGTCAGGTCCCTTCTGTATGACCGGTGTAGGAGTCTGGTCCGCATTGCCGGCAGTAATTTGGGCTAGTTTCCGGTGACAGTTGGACTCCACCAAGGCTGCCCTTTGTCACCGATTCGTTCATTACTTTCATGGACAGAATTTGTAGTCGCAGCCAAGGTTTTGACGTGATGCAGTTTGGAGGCCTGCTTTTTGCACATGTTGGCTCCATCAGGACGTGATCTGGAGCTCTCACTGGAGTTGTTTGCAGCAGAATGTAAAGTGCGCCTCCAAGGAAAAGGGTACAGTGCCTTCTCAGGGTCAAGGGTTGGTGTCCTGCCCCAAGTGGAGGAGTTCAAATATCTCAGGATCTTGTTCATGAATGAGGGAAAAATGGAGCAGGTGGATTGGCGCATCATCTGCCGTGAAGCAGGCGCTGTCTATCATGGTGAAGAGAGAGCTGAGCCAAAAAGCAAAGCTCTCGATTTACCGGTCGATCTACGTTCCCACCCTCCTCTATGGTCATGAGCTTTGGGTCATGACCGAAGAACGAGGTCATGGATACAAATGGGTTTTCTCTGTAGGGTGGCTGGGCTCTCTCTTAGAGATAGGGTGAGAAGCACTGAACTCCTGAGTTCAGTGAAATGTTTGTAAAAACAGTCTGGCTGCCTAGGTTCTTCATTTGATACACCTAAAGCCATGAAAGTGACTGGAACATCTGATTCCGATCATTTGGATTAGTGAGCAAATTTGTTTAGCATCATACAGCTAAATTATTTTCAATCTTGTCCAGACCTGTTTCCTTAGTTTATTTAAAAAAATGATGACAATGAACCTCAATTTAAAAACAATGTCTCATCTTTAGTGGCTTATTTTCAATAAATTCTTATGTGTTATTACTTTTGGCAGTTTCAAATTATTGCAGTGACCTTTTCATTCTTTAACAGAGAATGAACATGGTGCACATGTCCACCAATTTTGGACACGTGCATGTGAATCATGATTCCACCCAGAAAAATATCTGTTCAAATATAAGATTGCCTCAAATTTATTATATTAATATTAATTTAAAAGCCTCAAATTAATATGACAATCATGCCCAAGATGAGTGCAAGTCCTGGTCATAAACTGTACTTCTCAAGCTTTACATTAAATACTATTGGTAAAAAAAAAAGAAGTCAGATGGAATGTGTTCTCACCAATACATTTCAGAGTGGTCACCATGCCTGAGGTGCACTGGTTCTTACTGCAAAGACACAGTCAGGGTCATATCACATACAAGCACATATAAAAAAGTTACATCAATTATTAGGCAGATCCAGAGCAGAACTTATCTACACTAGAAATTATTTAAACTGAGATGCTACACACAATATAACCTAAATTAGCCGAGATATTTTTTTTATTTATTTAAGTACTAAACTTCCAGTTAGCAAAAAACTATTTCACACATCAGAGTTTAAATGTATTCCTTCTAGATGTACAGGGGATCATCAGATAACTTTCTGAAAAAAGTGAGAGATATGACTTCCTGTTTGTCACAGCAAATTAAACACATTATGTCTGTTGATTTTAAAGTAATCTGGAACTGACAGAACCTCAAAAGAATAACAGAGTTTTTTGTTTTTTGTATGTCTTTTGTCAGACAGTAAAGGAGGATAAAACAGTTTGTCTTTTACAAACTTTATCTACGCCAGTGTTTCTCAAGCTTTTTGGGCCCCATTCAGGTCCCTTATCGGCCCCATCAAATAAAATGTAGGCTACTTGCACTGAATATTATTTTCTGATAAATATTACTATCATTATTGTTCTTGTCTTGAGTTGTATTGTTGTTTCTGTATTTATTGTCAAAAATCCTTAAAAGAGAAACATTACTGATTTATTAGTTTCTAAAGAACAAAAAAGCCGTGTGAATAGAAATTAATTTTAAAGGTCTCATAAGAAAAATGCAATAAAAGGACATTCAATTTAAAATTGGTAGCCAATCAGCAGCCAATCAGAGTGGGGAAAAAAATCTTGTTCTGTGCCATTTTCTGATGTCACTAAATCCTGCAAAAAATGGCCAATTGGCAATACCAGTTTTAACTTTGAAACTTCCAAAAAGGTCTGCAAACATTAAAAGATGGATTGAACTGCAACTATATCACTCAGAACTCTTATTGTCTTCAGTGTTCTGTCAGTTTCTGGTCGTGCAGGAGAATGGGACATATCCAAAAAATGTCATCCACATGGATGTGCAAACCAGAGCTTTCAGTGGAAAAACAAAAGTTGCATTATCCTTTAATGCCATAGGCATATGGAACAGAACCATGCATGATTTTTTTTCAATAATTTATAGATTAATAGTTTCAATGTACAGAAATTGCAAAGAATGAGCTGGCTCTTAGTCAAATCCAAGTGAGTCAAATTGAAAGTGTTATTCAGTCACTTAACAACATCGTGACATTAATACTGACATGAAAAATAATATTGAAGGAATAAATATAGAAATAAAATCTAATGAAGTGATAAGTTCCTTACTGTTTTGTTTTGGTCTGTAAAACTCAACACCGCTAAGACGAAGGAGCTGGTTATAGACTTTGGGAGGTCCAGACCAAAGCCGAGACCAGTGTTCTAGAGGAACAGAGGTTGAGGTCGTGGACTCCTACAAGTACCTTGGGCTGTGGCTGGACAGTAAACTGGATTGGTCAAAACACCAGCCACCTGTATGGGAAGGTGCAGAGCAGGATGTACTTCCTGAGGAGACTGCGGTCCTTTAACATCTGCAGCAAACTGCTGTGGATGTTCTACCAGTCAGTGATCGCCAGTGTCCTCTTCTACACCGTGGTGTGCTGGGGAGGCAGCACATCCAAGAAGGACACGTCCAGACTGGACAAACTGATCAGGCGTACCGGCTCTGTGGTCGGCATGAAGCTGGACTCTCTGGTGACGGTGGCAGAGGCGAGGACACTGAACAAACTGCTGGACATCATGGACGATAGCAGCCACCCTCTACACGCCGCCATCAGCAGCCAGAGGAGCCTGTTCAGTGACAGACTGCTGCTTCCCAAGTGCCGGACCAATAGATTCAAGAACTCCTTTGTCCCCCACGCCTTCAGACTGTACAACTCCTCACTGGGGGTGGGAGGTGACACAGGACAGAGGAAGAAGGAGTGTACTTTTCTGCAAATATCCATACTTGTTAGGCCAAACCAGATAGTGTAATATCATATCACTGGTCAATCTATCCGCCAAATTCCTATATTTTCTCTTGTGTTGCATTTATATTTTTTATTTATAATTTATTTATATTATTTCTTGCTTATTTTTGCTTAATTTAGGGTTTTGGCTACTCACATTTAGTGTGTACCTTTGTATTTAATTTGTATTTGTTGTATTCTTTTGTATTTTGCTCACTGTGTGCCACTTTTCTGCCTGTAAGCTGCTGGTGACTTCAATTTCCTGAGGGAGTCTTCCCAAGGGATCAATAAAGTACGAGTCTCAGTCTAAGTCAATACATTACATGTCCATCTACTGCAACACATACACCATACTTTGCAGGGATCTGCAAAACACACTACCACACATTTTTGTTTTGAAGTGTTTTGAAAAATTTAGTTCAGTCAGGTTATTTTGGATACTAAGTGTCAGGAGCCACCTTTGCTTGTGGCTCCTGACAGTGTGTGATGTACCAAAAAGTGGGAGCTTTAAAACATCACTTGTTTATATAGTCAAGAAAATCTGTTTGAGTATAAGCCACCACATAAATTATTAGATTCCAGTGTATCATATACGTGTATTTTTAGACCAAAATTGATCAAAATACCATATTAAATAAAAAAAGGAACCATAATGCAGACAGCATTTCACCAGGAGGCCTAGAGTGGGGAGCCCCATCCCTTCGCTCCTCAGACAGAGTTTGGGGAAGAAGACGGTGGTCGCTCCTTCATTAACAGAAGTTGTTCATGTTTTCAGGTTAGTATTGTGAAGCTGGTGAAAACTGTCCCCCCTAAAATGTGAAGTGGCAAGTTAGTTTGGCACTGATTTTGGAACCATATGCTTAGATGTGCTTAGACGCTAAAAAAAGAGTGATTTCTGTCATAATTGCAGTTAGTGAAATTTTAGCTGCAACAGTTGTATAATGGTCGTTTTAGAGATGGCCATATGTATCTAGAAGCTCCGCTCCCCGACCCAAATGTATGAATGTTACAGTGGTATCCTGATGTGTTGTGTTGTTTGTTATCTGTTAAAAGTAAGAGTGCTTAATTTATAGAAGTGTTAAGGTTACTCCCAGCTACCTGAAATCAGCTCTCATCACAGTTTCAAACATTTATTATAGATGTTGCTCCTTTCCCCTACTGTGTAATCAATTCCACTGTACAGTAAGTCTCAGAATTATCCAACGGTTATGACAGCTTAAAATATATTTGATCATCTAAATACGTCCATATTGAATTATATCACTAATAACATAATTAAGTCTTTCAGAATTATTATAATTTAAAGAAATTAGTACCCTTAAAATTTGACTGCACTTGAGAAATTGGTGGTTTTTTTTATGTAAATCTGTGAGATTTAAATTTATGGTTTAAATGTTCTGATCGGCATCAAAGAAAACTTTGATGCTGTCACAGCTGGTGTGAGCTGATGCTGTTCACAGAAGTGGATGATATATGATTGTTTTAGAACAGGGGTGCGCAATACGCCGATCGCAATCTTCCGGTCGATCGCGGGAAGATTTTGAGTGGATCTCTGCAGCAGGTGACAAACTGAAGGCCTCCAAGATGCTGAGACCAGCACTTCCTCTTCTAACAGGCTTACCAAAATATTCACTGAGATCCAAAACATTTGTAGCTTCATTACAGAATAATAATTTTAAAAATCAACAAAACGTGTTCAAATGAATATTCTCAGTAATTATTGTTGTTGTGTTCCAGATCCATTAACAAATGAAAATGCGACTCAAAGACCGAATGACAGCAGAGCAGGAGTTTAAATGAGCTGATCAACCACCGCTGTGTTCATGAGCGGCTCATCAGTAATCAATAAATATCAAGCCTGGAAACCTGATATTGTAACTGAATGTTATGTTCTTAATGTAATCTTTGCTCGGCGCAGGCAGTTGCCACAGCAACAGGTGTGCTTAGCGATAAGGACAGAAGGAGAGTAAAAAGGTGCGAGTGGTTTTGAGTTGATCACCTGTTCGGGTTGTTTCACCTTTGTTGATCTTCGCTGTGGTTCATCACAGCTGCTGGAGTTTCTGAACGTTCAATAAACGACAAACTAATGACCTCATTTGTTTACAGTAAACGTGTCGTAACAAACATCAAATAGGACAAATATATTTGATTAAGTTTTAACAAACAAATGGCTTTTACCAATAATTATGTGACATTTAATTATATCCCAACCTCAGAAGATTTGCCTTTATCTTTGCAGAGCTCTTTGTTTCCTCCTATCAGTTTGAAGTTTCTCATATTGAGGTCAAAGTTCAGATCTGACTGACACCTGCTGGCCTCAGCTTTACAACCAGCTTCTGACTGAGAAACCAGTAACCTGCTCCCAGTGCCAGAATCTCACTGAGGAAGAAACTACATCAGATTTCCTATCACTTTATCATTTCTGATATATTTGTATAGAAAATGAGTCAATAGGGTTTAAGTTACAATTTTTATGTTTTCGTGTCATGATGTAGATCTCAGCCGGCTGGTGAGAGAAAAAGTGGATATTGTTTTAGAACAACAGAAGGACACTAAGACATAATCACACTGAGGAATGTTCATTGTATAATTTCATGATTTTGTTACAAAAAGACAGTTTGGGGAAGAAGACAGCGGTCGCTCCTCATTGATAGAAGTTGTTCATGTTTCAGGAGAAAGGAGAAGCGGAGACAGAAAAAAAACATAATTTGTTACATTTGTTTCAACCAAGTTGACACATGTAACACCTTAAATTGATTATTGATAGATCCAAGACAGAAAAGTTTTATTTTTGAGACTGATACAAATTTTAAATTCATAAATTTAATTGAGCGCCTGATCAGCTACTACAATCACATCTTTTAGTTTTATTTGTTCTCTATGTGTAACTTGAACTGTCCTGTATATGCAAGCAGATACCTCATTCAGTTTTGCCCCTTTGCTACCTTTTTGCTGGTTGTTTTCATGGAGACGGACTCAGCCAAACTGCTGCAAAAGTTGTTTTTTAATTCTCAAGGTCAACAAGAATTCTCAGGTTGTTCTGCATAAACTTCCCTCACCTGTGATGATGAATGTTGCATACCTGAAGGTTGCAGCATTCTGAAGCTTAATGACCTCTGCCTGGCTATAGTTGATGGAAATCAGGTTGGTTCGAAGGTCCTGCTCAATGGAGGTCAGAGAGATGAAGAAGGACTCCACATACCTAGTAACACATTTTCAAACACAGTTATAAATATAGGTATGTGCAAGGAACGATTTCTTTTATTGTAAAATGACATAGCTTCCGAAGGTCGTATTTTGTGCTTTTTTAAATTTTGATATTGAAGTCATTCAGAGTAAACATCTGTTCACTATGCTACACATTAAATAGTATTTGAATCATAGGTAGATTATGACAGTAGGAATTAGGTCCTCCTCAAGTACCAAATAACTCTTCAAAAATAATTATCAAGTAGGCTACAGTGGGAGTTCTTTGAAGTAGCTCTGCTTTCTTTGCAATTTCTTCTGTTTTTCAAATATTCATTCCTGCTTTTTTGTAGGAAAATAGCTTTTCTGGACTACTTCTTGTTTTGGATTCTGTGTGGTTGGACTAATTTTTGGCAATATTTTTGTATTTTTGCTATTTTATTATGATGCATAACCATATATTTACAACAGGGAGCAGCTGGTCAACATCAGAAAAGCTGAAATAATCTCACAGCTGAGAAAATAGTGATATGAAAAATGCTAACTTGAAGGCGTAACGTGAGGGTGGCACCATGGAGTAGCTCTGCTTACTTAGCGATTTTTTTCTGTTTTTCAAATATTCATTCCTGCTTTTTTTTTTTGTAGGAAAATAACTTTTTGCACAGCTACTTTTTCTTGTTTTGGTTTCTCTGTGGTTGAACTGATTTGGGGCAATAGCTTTTGTATCATCCCAATTTTGTTATGATGTGTAAACATAGCAACCAAGTGGTTTACAACAGGGAGCAGCTGTCAACATCAGAAAAGCTGAAATAATCTCACAGCTGCAGCCAGAATCCAGAGGAGTTGAAAAGGAGGCTTGTGGATGTAAAGCTGGAGCAAAAAGAGAGAGAGAAGCAGGAAGTTCAAACCGTCTCTACAATCTCACATCTTAAGGGGCTTCATGAGATTGTTGGCTAACAAGATGGATGAACTTCAAGCCCCGACTCCCAAGCCCAAGGACTCAGCAAGGGTAATGAATGCAGCATAAAGGACAAGAGACATGGCTGCAGGATTGTATTCCCAACTCCAACATGTCTCTGCCATGACTATGACTTCAAGCAGACAGAGATTTAAAGTGCATCAGGAAAAGAAAAGGAGATGGATTAACAGTTTTTGTGAACAACACATGGTGTCACCCAGGCCATGTTAATGTGAAGTGTCGTCTCTACAGTCCAGACACTGCAGAGACGAACTCTTGGCAGTAAGTTTCTGTCCATACCAAGAGAGTTCATCAGTGTTATTTTAACAGCTGTTTACTTTCCACCCTTAGCTGTTGCTATGTTGTACATGCTATACAACATCAGCATTCATGCCAGCCTTCTGGGCTGTTTCTCTTCTGCTACATTTTCAATCTATAATAATAGCAATAGCAGCAAAACAATGTGGTTTTGTTTTGTTGGTTATAATTAAATTTTAACCACTTTGTGAGATATGAATTAAATAAATTCATATTTCACATATCATATCTCAACTAATGAGACACCACCACTCAGCACCTTTAACAGTGGTATAGTGATCTTTGCGATCTATATTAACTATTCAACGTGTTGATCTTATGTTTAATTGTTTATTGATTCTAACTTCTTTGTTCGTGTCAAGTCGTCTTAAGTTAACTGAAATAAACTATTTTCTGCCTTCACTGTTGATGGAGCTTGACTCTTCTTTAACAGAACAACAGGCTAAAGCTTCAGATTAAAATATTAACCTAACTAAGCAGAAAAAGAGGAACACATTTCAAAATTAGCCATCAATATTAATAAGGAAGAAAGAAAGAAAACCTTGAGTATCCCAGTTGCTTGCAGGCAGATATCCCGAGCTGATTGTTCCATTCCTCTGAGCAAACTGTCCTCCATGCTCCTCTTTTTTGAACCTGCAGAACTGAGCTCCTGCCACTCAGACGTACTAATGAATGGACAGATCACAAACACAACAGTTAGTAAAATGTTATCTGTTATTATATTTGTTTGAACAAATCTCAATTTTAACTTAACCTTCCTGCATTCGGGCAAAGCTCAGAAGGAGCAAAGAAAATTTCACAGTTGACAGGTGGGAAAGTAGGAATGGTTTCATCAGAGCGTCAATTTCCAAAACCACACAAAAAATCCTACTGGACCACGCACAGAAAAAAAAAACCCTAACTCACCTTGACCCATGATCAGCTTTTTGGTCTGACATTTTTGTCTTTATTGAGCTGCAAAAATTATGCATAAAACTTCAGACTGTTTTATTGCCATCTTTGAGGTATCTGACTTTTGCTCCGCTCTTCCTTTGTCTGTACAACAGGCAATCTCTTTTGGGATGTTTGTCATTCTCACAGAGTGGAAGTCTGCCTCACCCCCCTCTTTTAAGTACTGGGTAAAAAACATGGGCTTCCTGTTTGCATCTTAAAAAATATGCTACACTCTCAATATGTTCCCAGACATATTAGGACTTTCTTGAAGCAGAACTCAATTCTGCTCAATAGTGGTAGCCTTGCTCCTATTTGGTAGCCCTGTCCTCTCACTGCTTACCAGTCAGTGCACATGTGGGTTGGTATATTTTACCTTCACACTTTCATACTCATGACAGATTGAGGCAGAGCTGAAATGTACAACTATTTTTCCACCATCTCTCTCCCCCTAGACATTTGTGGATCGGTGTCAGGTCTCTGCCTAAGGCCGCTGATAAACTTTCCATCACGTATCAGACACTGTTGGCTTTAAGTCTATAAACACACACTTCTTTTGCCATAATCCAAGAGCACACCTTTTCAGTCTGAAAAAAGGATTGTGATACGATTATTATGTTTATCATTCTTACATTTAGTAGTTTGTATTATTATTATTAGTTTTCATGTAAAGGTTAGTTTGGTTTGTTTTCTTATCCCCAGTGAGCAAAGGAATTTACTAACGTGTAACCTTTAACCCTAACCCTAACCCTAACCTCAATGTTTTATAGGAGGTCGTAGGTGAATTGTTGAGATATCTCTCAGTCGTAAAACTCTGTTTGTGTACAGGGTTTCCCCTTTTCTTGTTATCAAGAAACCCCCCCTTTCTGTTTATGGAAATAAAAAGACCAGCTCTGAAACGGAGGGTAGACCACATGGGGAGCTGCTTGGAGAAGTAGCTTTGTTGTATGCTCTCCTTTTGCATGAGATTGGTTGAAACTAATAAATGTTGTCTGTGTTCTTTCTTTCATGTAGGTTGAAAAATTATACTTATCAGATTGCATGCCTTTTGGTTTAATATTTTTGCTTACATTTTCATTTTGAAAGCAGGACTTTGCGTCTTTCTTCTCAAAACTTGTAATGCTTGTCCTCAAAACATTTTCTCGCGCTCAAACTTAGTCTTAGCTTGGACTAGCTAGCTCTGGTTTGCTAGCTTACAAAACATGGAGCTGCTTTTGTCATTTGCTTGGCAACCAATAAAATGAAAGTGTTGCTTCCTTCTAGCAGGTGTGCCTGTGTGGCTACTATCACCAGCGCCACACACTGGATGTCGGGAGAAACAATGTCAGCTTTCTGTTTCGTAGTGCTACTCTTTCAAGCTCAGTTGAAAGAATAGCAGTCAGAGGAATGTTGTAGTGCCTGTCCGCACTTTGCCAGCTTGACCATTTGCTGTCAAGATCGCTCAATTCCTTGAAGTCTAACCCCACTTCTATGTAGTTAGCTTCTTCAGTTCCTTCTTTTTCTACAAAAATTATCTTTATATCGCAATCAGGAGTTCATTGTGTATATTTTTATCATTTATTGTAAATAATTTCCCTTCTTAGCTTATTCTGCATTTTCATGATTTATTCTGCATGAGGGTCAGGAGAATGTTGGCAAATAGGAGGGCATGAATACCACCTAATACTCCACTGTTGGATTTTCTTAAACTAAATTTAGAGTAGGTATGTGCAATTCACAAATGGATAGGATGAAGAAGGAACATATGAGAACATATGGTATATGTGAATATTAACTGAACATTTAAAGACATGTCAAACCGTGGGTGCGTATAGGTATATTGGACAAAGTTTGATTGACATTATACACGTAAAAAATCAGTTAGACAAAATACAAAAACAAATTATGCAAACTTTCAACCTTGGACAAAGTTGGGAAAAAAAAAATCTAATAACTTGTCTCAATAATTGGCTTCAAAATTTGGAAGCTATGCTGGTAATTCTTGGTTACCTAAAGTAGAAAATGTCTGATTTTACACCAGACAGTGTAAAAACTGCCCTTAATCCCACCTTTGCTGCTTCATTAGTTAGAGTGATAGTCAGTCACACAGAGCATTCAGCCAATCATTGCACCTGAAGTGGTTTTTCAGGCCTGCTCCAGCTTTCCCAATCAGGTGTGACGGGGAGAGCTGGAGACAAAGGAGCTGCAGGTTTCCAAACAATTTGCTTATTATGTACTTTTAAACCTCACAATATAAACTCATGTAGATCTGAGTATCCAGTGAGCTTGGAGCCAGGAAGCTGTCATACACTGAACTATATATGAAATTGATGAGTTGTGAACACAATGTTTTGTTTGTTTGGCATGTTGGTGGTGGTAGCTAATGCTAATTGTTTGATTATCAGACACACAATGTAACTTTTTCAATTCAATACATGTGTTTAAGATAATGAGATAAATGCTGATATTTTTATTTTTGTTTTAAAGATTTGATTGTGGATATTATTGCATTTATTTCTGGATATTACTGAAAAACCATCTAGTTAACTAGCAGACTGGTAATGTACTCATTTCAATACAGGCCAGGTGACCCTTTTTGGGTTAAAAATGGCGAGTTTCTGACAACTGGCTGGAGCCAGAAGAACTTGAATTTGACTCCATACTGGTCTGGTAGGAGGCGATGGTCCATAATATTTCCTCCATTTCACTACATAGACACACAATTCATTATTCATCTTTTCATTGGACACAAATTGCGCTTGGACATTTTTCTCTTAAATATCTGAACAAACGCACCATGGACCTTTAAATGTGTCGGTCAGACGCTGTGCTGACCAGCGGAAAGTGAAGGACTCTTTGTGCACAACTATATAGAAGATCTACTGCAGTACTGTGTATATTTATTGTATTTTGTTTTGTTTCTATGTATGTTCTGTCTTGTAATGTTTACTTAATTTTTTTTCTTTAAAATACATAGTATTGAAAGCAGTTATTCTTTGTGTTGTTTTTATTGATTACTGACAACAGCTCCAGTGGATGAATTTAGTCTTCTAGTCCTTTAGTACATTAAGTAGTGGTACACAGTGAAGGAAATAAAAAATCTGGTTTCAGCTACAGAGACATGAAATGATACCAGTGCAACTCACCACAACCAAGCTCATCTTCGTGGTTTTCACAATCCATTGTTCCATCACACTGAGCCATGGTATTGACACACTGGGATGATGAACCGCAGCGAAACTTTCCCACACAGCTTAGACCCACTGTAGATGAAGAGAAGATGAAAAATGTGTGCAGTGTAGTGTTGTTAAATTTGATAATAATGGATTATCATTTCTTTTACTTCTCCTCAACATATTTAGTATTTTTTTCAAAATATGACATACAAGAAGTTATAAGACAATGATTCTATGCATGTACTCACTGACAGAACACATATACTAGTACATATGTCAAGGGAACTACACATTAAAAAAGGATTAGATATTATAAACACATATTATGTTACATATATATAATATATTAGCTCTACAAACACACAAAAATGTGTGTTTGTAGAGCTAATATTGTGATACTAGATCTCAGAGGATATGAGGGTACAATGCCCCTCAACCTGACTCTTATGTTCAAATGTCAAAAATTTTTATTTCAATCAATCAATTTTATCCATAAAGCACCCTTCATGTTTGAGCCAGCTCGCTGGAAACACATAATAAAGGGTATTTCTGACCTGGTTTGAACCATCCAGCTGCAAATACCAGAGTTGTGAAGTAAACTGAGACTGGAGATGGGAGCAAAACTCTTTTTTGCTCCCATCTCTGTAAGAGGGCTGGTGGATATTACAAGTACCTTCAGCTTTTCTTCACTTCCCTGGACTAGCCAGAGGAATCATTGCTCATATTTTTTTGCTTAATTTCTTAATAAAATAATAATCAAAATGCATTTTGATTCATTCTTGATTGAATCAGTGTTTCATCTTAGGTAAGACTTATTTCCTTAACACACCGATCATGTTCACTACAAATGGCCATACCCAGATGTTATCAGTGCTGATATGAAGATCAGTAATTACTGAAAATATAGTTTGAGTTTCTCTATATGTTGCATAACCCAAATGTTCATAAAATTGTCATATTTGATACGAGGCTCAGCCCGAAGAGGATACATGGGTCCTCCACCTGAAAGAGGGGCCAAAGAGTTCAGGTGCATTGTGAGATGGGTGGGGGATGAGGGACGTGATCCTGGCGGTCCGATCCTCGGTTGCAGAAGCTGGGCTCTTGGGATGTGGATTGTCACTTCTCTGGTGGGGAAGGAGCCGGAGCTGGTGTGTGAGGCTGAAAGGTTCCGACTAGAAATAGTTGGTCTCACCTCGACGCATGGCTCTGGTTCTGGAACCAGTCTCCTTGAGAGGGGCTGGACTTCCACTCTGGAGTTGCCCATGGTCAGAGGCGCTGGGCAGGAGTGGGCATACTCATTGCTCCCCATCTCGGCACCTGCACATTGGGGTTTACCTGAGTGAACGAGAGGGTAGCCTCCCTCCGCCTTCCGGTGGGGGGATAGGTTGTGACTGTTTTTGTGCTTGCGGGCCGAATATCAGTTCAGATTACCCACATCTTTGGAGTCCTTAGAAGGGGTACTAGAGAGTGCCCATACTGGGGACTCCCTCGTTCTACTGGGGACGTCAACGCTCACGTGGGCAATGACAGTGAGACGTGGAGGGGCGTGGTTGGGAGGAACACTCCCTCCGATCTGAACTCGAGTGGTGTTCAGTTGTTGGACTTCTGTGCTCATCATGGATTATCCAAAACGAACACCATGTTCAGACATAGGTGCACTTAGCACCAGGACACCCAAGGCCACAGTTTGATGATCGACTTTGTTGTTGTTTCATCAGATCTGTGACCGTATGTCTTGGACTCTCGGGTGAAGAGAGGTGCGGAGCTGTCCACCAACCACTCCTCCACCATCGGAGTTGGCTCCAAGAGTGGGGGAGGATGCCGGACAGACCTGGCAGGCCCAAACATGTTGTGAGGTCTGCTGGGAACGTCTGGCGGAATCCCCTGTGAGACGTAGCTTTAACTCCCATTTCCAGCAGAACTTTTAACACGTTCCATGGGAGGTGGAGGACATTGAATCTGAGTGGTCCATGTTCGGTGCCTCCATTGTTGAGGCGGCTAATCAGAGTTGTGGTCACAAGGTTGTCGGTGCCTGTCGTGGCGGCAACCCTCGAACCCGTTGGTGGAGATCTTCGGTAAGGGATGCTGTCAGGCTGAAGGAGGAATGTGGGACTCCGGAAGCAGCTGATGGGTACCGGCGGGCAAACCAGTATGCGGCACAGGTAGTTGTTGATGCAAAAACACGGGCGTGGGAGAATTTCGGAGAGGCCATGGAGAAAGTGTTCCACACGGCTTCAAGGCGATTCTGGTCCACCATCCAGTGTCTCAGGAGGGGGAAGCAGTGTAGCACTGTTACAGTGCTGCTGAACTCGACTCGGGACGTTGTGAGCTGGTGGGCAGAATACTTCAAAGACCTCCTCAATCCCACCAACATGCCTTCCATTGAGGAAGCTGAGCCGGGGGACTCTGGGTCAGGCTCTCCAATCTCTGGGTTAAGGGGTTAAATGACCAACATAAAATGCAATAAATTATAATTGCAGTTTACTAGTTTGTTGTGAACAAACTGAACTCAATATCAAAGATAAACCTCACAGCATCGGATTGTAGCTGTGGTAAGAAAACAATCTAACTATGAATATTGTTCTTTGAGACCTACACAAAGTAAACTTGCCAGGTCCTTAAAATCTTACATTTAAATATTAAACAATTTAAAATATTTTATGCTAAAACCATTAAATCAAATTGACAGCAAACTTAACAATTGTTACATTTATATATGTTGTGGTCTGTGTTAAAATATTAGCATTTATGGGGCCTTGGAAGCACTGAGGGGCCTTTTGGAGCGCAGGCTTAATTTGGATTCAACAGAAGTGCAAATGATTGATATTCATATTAATTGTATTTTTCGATTTGTTTTAAGACTAGTTGTGGGTTTAAATCACATTTAACTGGAGATATATTTTTATTATTACTGTCTACCTAACATCTTATAAACAAAATGTTAGATGGATTGCCTCAACGCCCCGACCACCAGGCTCAGCAGATTTTCTAGGGGAACCTCTGCTTTTTACATTATTCTCCAACTATTGATGGAACACAGTACATTTCAGGTATAGAGTAACAAGGGCGTTCACAAGTGATTCTTTTGAACAGCTCTTTAATGTGAATGGTAGGACTCAAGTCTCAGACAGAGCTGTTCTTTGACTTAGCATATCAACAGCTGGTATTTTTTATTTAATTTAAAAAATTTAATTGGGGAATAAGTAAAATAGACAAATACAACTGATAGAAATGGATGGATAATTTTTATATTTATTGGAGCAGAAGGGGAATTTTTTTCTACCAAAGCAACTCCAGGCTATTTTTCTTTATTATGCTTCTAAATTACAAATAGCCCCAAAATGTTAGAAATGAGATTATTCATGATTTTATTATAACCAGTCACATTTACAAAACATCACCACTCTTCTCATTAGTATGAACAAAGAAGACAACAATAAATGAGCTACATACATATGTATATATACATATTTATATACAAATAAATATGTACATATTTATATATATCTATACATATATATTATATGTGTTTTGTGGGGCAATTTCTAGTGAGCATCATGAGGTGTTTGTTGGTGGACCCAAACTGCATATGTGGATTATATTGAATGTTCTTTAATGATAAAACTGAAAACTTAGAAATATCACATTGAATGCAGGAAGCCAGAGAGGAGGAAATGAGGTATACTGATTAGGATGATTAATCCTAAACCACAAAAAGGATGGCTGAAACTGGTTTCAGGTGTGAGGGGAGACAGCAGAACGCAGACTGAGGAGACCAGACAAAGAGAGAGGGAGAGAGACAGAGATAGTGCTTAGGGCTCAAGGGAGCTCACATGGGACTATGAAATATGAATATAACACTAAAACATAACAAGAAACATAATTAAACTGGAGTGATTAAGAATAACCAGACACAAGAAATAAACTAGAATAATTCATAAAGGTCAGAACAAAAGAAAAATAGGAACACAACTGATCTAATTTAAAAAAAGAGACTATTTATGAAACACAGAATAATAAACAAACCTCAAAACAACTCTGGTTTGTGAGTGTTTGTGGAACGGGTTAAGTGGTCCTCAGCTGGAAAAAGTTTGAGGAACATCAATCTAGCACCGCACAACAACTAATGGGCATTTACTGTTTTATACAATTGTTATCAATACTTTATTGTGGCTGGCAAGTTCTTTTGCGTTATGGAGGTCCACATTGATTCACTGGAAATGCATCCTTGCAGTTTTCTCTATTTTGCTCAAATAATACCAAAAGGAGAATGTCTGTTCATCTGTATGTGATGCACTTAGGTTTTGCAGCAGGACAATAATTCAAACACAGCAATTCCACCTATGAATAAATGAAGAAAAATAAAATGAAGATTTTGGACTGGCCAACCTACATTGAGATTAAAAAGACAGTTCATTCTTAAAACCCTTAGAACTATAACAATTTTGTCTAGATAATTTGGCCACAATTCCTCCACAATTGCCTAAATGTTATTTCCGCCTTTAACAAAACACCGTCATTTAAAAACTGCATTTTGTGTTTACTTGTGTTGTCTTTGACTAATATAATTGGGTTGATGTACCAAAACACAGAAGAAGGGGTCAAACAGTTATTCACAAAACTGTAATGAACTGATGAAGCCTGGAATAAAAAAAAAACTTTCTGTACAACAACTGTGCATCAGGATCTTGTGGTTGTCTCAGTCATTGCCAGCTCCACAGAGGTAACACAAAGCTGAGCTCCTTACCTCCAAGGCCAATCCCAAGAACCAGAAATATCATCAAGACGAGGCTCGAAGCAATCAGCAGTTCAAATCGATGAGGAATGAGTCTGTTTTTCCATCCCTTATCCAAGTCATTGTCTGCCAATTAAAAAGACACAACATTTTGAATATTTAGCTGAACCCATATTTTTCCTATGAATAAATACTTTCTCCCAGTATTTTGTACTTTCTGATAATCAGAATATGTTTTTCATATTCACAAAGGTTGACATTCGAAATGGACTGTGCCTACTAATGTTCACATGAGCATATTTTGTTCCAAGAGCCTTTTTGTTGGTAGAGTCACATATTGTTTCTCTGTTAGTCTTCAGTTCAAGTGACTAACCAACAGAGGTTAGTCGCTTGGGTTAGGGTTGATTGTCTTGTACAATACGACTAATCGACTATCCTCAGGACCAGGAAAGGCTGCATTCACACTGCAGCCTGAAGTGACCCAATTCCGATTGTTGAAAATGGACTTATTTAACTGTGTGTACATCACTTTTAAGAGCTCAGGAAGCCATCTGAATAAGCTTCACTCTGATTGGTTCATTTGTTATCTCAAGCTGCCATTAGTTGTTGAAAGAGCACATGTTCAGTTTTAGTTGACGAAGTAATGGTTGGAAGCCGTCCAGAGTTGTTGTTCCAGAGATTGGGAAAGTGTAAATGAATAAAAACCACTCTCAGCTCCATCAAAGGAAACCAAGACCTGAAAACGTTTCATCATTCTTGACCGAATGCTCATCGTTCTATTTTAAAGAACACTAACTAAAGGGAGCACAACACCGATTTTTTTTTTTTTTTTTTGCCGTAATGCAACCTGTATCTGATCTTTTCATGACGGTCTGAACTGATTCATTTAGAATCCAACAGAGGCCACTTGGATATCCGATACGTTTCTGATACAAATGTGACCTAACGCCCAGGTTGCATTCATCCAATCGAAATGTCATTGATAAATGTCATTGACATTCTGCACCCCATATTCTCAAAATTGATAAGTACAAGCAGAAAAAGAATAACTATGGTCGACAACAAGAATTAAATTGTAAATATAATCCTTCTTTAGCATCCATGTTTACTTCTGCAAACATTGAGCACTGCTTCTTTTTTATGGTGGTTGGCAAAACACTGAGCGCGCTTCTCTGTGTGTGATGTTATTTCGCCTCTACTGCGCATGCGGGATACTTTCAGGTTGTGTCCCGAGTGCTGAGATCAGAGATCACGGAGTCGCATATATTTGGACGTGGGAATCACCACGGCAAAAAATTGATTTGACAAAAAATCGAAATTGGTCACTGTATCCTGCAGAGTGATCATAGCCTAAGTCTTCTTAAAATATGGCATCTTTGAGAACATTTCTAAAAAATATAATGTTTTCAGCAAAGTTGAGGTGACTGTTCAGGAATGACCCAAGGTATTTAAAATTTGAAACAGTTTCAACAGGTTGGTCATCGAGTGAAACTGAATTAATAATAAAGACTTTGTGGTATTCTGATTTAGTGATACATTTATGTTAGTTGTGTTACCAACCCACGACACTAGAGGCAGTAATAGACTCAAAAAGATGAAACAAAGGAGCAGAATTAGAAAGACAAAGAAAGCTTTAGAATTTAAGAACTGTGAGTTGTGCTGAAGTAAAAAACAGAGAAGTTCAAATACATGCTGAGTGGAACTTCCTAAAGGTGAAGAAATCACAAATTTCAAAAGAAAAGAAAATACTTGAACTCCTCCACTTGAGGCAGGACATCTTCCTCGACCCGGAGAAGGCACTCTACCCTTTTCTGGCTCAAGACCATGTCCTCGGATTTGGAGGCACTGATCCTCATCCCGGCCGTTTCACACTCTGCTGCAAATCGCTCTAGCGAGAGCTGCAGATCACGTCCCAATGAAGGCCACCAAAACGGATCCCCTCAACACCTTGGCTCGCCTAGAAATTCTGTCCATGTAAGTAATGAACAGAATCGGTGACAAAGGGCAGCCCTGGTGGAGTCCAACTCTCACCGGAAACAAGCCCGACTTAATGCCGGCAATGCAGACCAGACTCCAACACCGGTCATACAGGAACCTGACAGCCAGTATCAAACGGCCCGAATCGCCATACTCCCAGAGAGCCCCCTACAGGACTCCCCGTAGGGACACGGTTGAACGCCTTCTCCAAGTCCACAAAACACTTGTAGACCAGTTGGGCGAACTCCCACAGACCCTCCAGGACCCTGCTGAGGGTGTAGAGCTGGTCCAGAACTGGACCACACTGCTCTTCCTGAATCCGAGGTTTGACTATCCGACAGACCCTCCTCTCCAGGACCCTGAATAGACCTTGTCAGGGAGGCTTAAAGTGTGACCCCTCTATAATTGGAGCACATCCTCCGGTCCCCTTTTTTGAACAACGGGAACCACCACCCCAGTCTGCCAATCCAGGGGAACTGCAACCAATGTCCATGCGACATTGCAAAGTCGCGTCAACCAACACAACCCTACAACATCCAGAGCCTTAAGGAACTCTGGGCAAATCTCATCCACCCCTGGGTCCTGCCACCGAGGAGCTTTTTAACCACCTTGGTGACCTCGTCCCGAGATTGGAGAGCCCGACCCAGAGTCCCGGGCTCAGCTTCCTCAATGGAAGGCATGTTGATGGGATTGAGGAGGTCTTCGAAGTATTCTGCCCACCGGCCCACAATGTCCCGAATCGAGGTCAGCAGAACACCATCCCCACTGTAAACAGTGTTGGGGCTACACAATGGAGGCATGGAACATGGTCCACTCAGACTCAGTGTCCTCCACCTTCCCCAGAAAGTGTTGAAAGTTCTGCCTTAGATGGGAGTTAAAGCTCCATCTCACAGGGGATTCTGCCAGATGTTCCCAGCAGACCCTCACAACATTTTTGGGCCTGCCAGGTCTGTCCAGCGTCCTCCCCCATCATCGGAGCCAACTCACCACCAGGTAGTGGTCAGTGGACAGCTCCGCACCTCTCTTCACCCAAGTGTCCAAGACATACGGCTGCAGATCCGATGAAATTATGACATATTTGATCATCGTGTCATGGTGTCCGTTATGGACGATCCGTGGCGAGCACAGAAGTCCAACAACACTACACCAGTAGGGGGATCGCCCCTCCAGGTCTCACTGTCATTGCCCACGTGAGCATTGAAGGCCCACAGCAGAACAAGGAAGTCCCCAGGAGGGGCACTCTCCAGTACCCCCTATAAGGACTCCGAAAAGGCTGGGCAATCTGAACTGCCCATAAGCACAAACAACAGTCAGAACCCGTCCCCCCACCGAAAGGTGGAGGGAGGATACCCTCTCATTCACCGGGGTAAACCCCAACGTGCAGGTGCCAAGTTGGGGAGCATCTCGGCACAAGTATCCCACTCCTGCTCGATGCCTCTCACCGTGGCAACTCCAGAGTGGAAGTATGTGTCGCCCCTCTCAAGGAGACTGGTTCCACAACCAGAGCCATGCGTCGAGGTGAGACCTACTTAAGCAGAGTCATGCTTATGTGGCAATATGCCCTGTAGGCTCTGAACGCACCACACAAGAATCTGAATCTAATTGGTTGTGGCGCTGGCTGTCTGTATAAAAGGGGCCTCCCTCACCTGGTTGACATCATGTTTTCCTTCCGGTTCAGTCCTCAGCATTTACTGGCACTGCATGTTTGCTGCATATTTATGCACTTGAATGATGTGCTTAACACTCTAATCGCCGCTCGATCCTCCTTGTGCTAAGAAGTTTCCCACAGTCTTAATGTTGAAGCATAGCTTTAGCTCAGTTTTACCTGTATGACCCGTACAAGCAGTCTGATTCCTCTTCCTGCCAGAGCCACTACGTATAGAGCGCAGTGGTAAGTGAAATGCTTGTCTTCTGTATGCTTCCAGATTCTATTTGTGACATTTATTTTTGATAGACGCTGCTGTTTGTCCTTGACCGACTGTTTTGCCTGTTGTTCCTGGCTGGTGGTCCATCTATTATCTAGGTTATCTGTTGTCGCTGCCCACCTGTTGCTCTGATTTGGGCTAGTGTGTGACCAGCTCAGACCGATTCTTCTAGTGCTGCTCTGGGTGCCGTCTGCTGCAGCGTGGCGGTTCATCCTAGGACGGATCTTTAATTTGAACTGTTGCTGCTTGATTTGTTGCGACTGAACTGTATCATTGTGAATTAATGTATGCAATTTGAACGTTTCCTTTCCTTTTATTTTGACAAGAATGGCCAGATCGTGGTGTTGGTGGTGGACTTTCCGGTTGGTGGTACTTTTTCTGGTTTGGTGCACAATTTTCTTTTCATTTTGCTGTGTTTCTTATTAGGTCACTATCTATAATTTGCACTGCCATCTCTGAGTTGAGCCATAACTATCTTTTAATGTGTGAGTGGTTAGTATATTCATGATTAAACTGAAAACAATTGTGCAATAAATAAAATTATTGAATTGGGTGACATTGTCTCAAGCCTCATCTGTAGCAGGTCTGTGTGCCTTAAAGGAAACTTTTCAAGTAGAGTTATTGTAATCTTATCTCTACTAATGTGGCGGTCATAAATTCAAGTTGCCTATTTTGATCGCACAGATCCCACATTTATCCGACGTCAGAACAGTATGGTTTTGTGGACATTACTTAAAGCATAGTAATGGCGCAACAAACAAGTTAAGACTTTTGCCACTTGAAGTAGTTATTTGCCAAACTGCCATTGTAAAGTGCAAGTTGTCTGCCAATAACAGGAAGTGTGCTCATATTGAAAACATATCTCACCATGAACAAAAGGCTGAACTTTTGTGACTGGCATGGTTGGACTGGCTGCAGCTTGAGAATGAAGCTCTTCTGGGTTACCTGGATCTTTCTCTGGTTGAAAATCTGCGATAAAGCTGCCAAGGGGGCTGATAATAAGAGTGTTGGGGGTTTCTACAGTGGGGAAGTCTTCCTCCGTAACCGAAACCACTTCAATCTTGGAGCTATCTGAGCCTCCAACTGTCTTCGTCTTAAATTCCTAAAAGAAAGTTATGTAAAATTAATCATTTATTTAGACATCCAACTGATCAACATACAGTTAACCCAAAATCATTTTATGGCCATGAAAGATTTATAAATAAGATGATTTTCATTCAGCAACATTTTTTTGGTTTCAGATAGGAAATATGAGACCAGCATCTCTCAAAAGATGAAAAAAAAAACAAAAAACACGGCATCAAAAAAAATTATTTTCTCATAAATTTTGCTCTACAGTGTCATGTTGAAAAACATTTATACTCTTCTCAATGATCAATGGAAAAATTATTATTGGCATTATAGCAATTCAACTCTTCCTACAATAATTGCTAACTTGGTATTCGCTATTTGATTTGTTATCTTTATGCTGCTTGAAAACAGAAGAGTGGGAATTGTCAGAGCACAATGTCCAAGGTGAAGGCAATGAAGTCACTGATTCTGACTCTCTTTTTGACGAATGTCCTCTCACTAGATCAGGGGTGGCCAACCAGACAAAGACCAAGAGCCTCATTTTTTACCAAGTTACTGTGAAGAGCCACATCATATGCATGGGCACACATGAACATCAACCCATCCCTTCCTCATACTCTCATACTTTTGCTCAGCCAGATTTATTATTTTCACACACTATTTTAACACTGCAAAGACCACAGGCCAGACATTTTCAACAATGAACACTGTGCACTTTCTCATGCAAACAAACTCTGTTTAACCAAATAAACAATAATAGAACAATTTACAATTCATTTTTCCTTTTATTATGTGCATTACATGTGTTATTTAATGAAGTGGTGCTGAAGGTTTGAAGCCTTAAAATGTGACAAAGACACCTGACACATAAGGCAGAATGGCTTTCCACTAAGTTCAACAAAAAAATATCAATTGTCCCACTCTGTCAAAAATGTTTTGTGTTCATCTTCATATTTTTGTTTTCCTGTACATTTTTTTCCTGCTATTTTGAGCGTGAAAGGTTTACTCAAATAATTTTAATCTCACTGAAAAACTGCGCACAAGCGCATTTGACGAAAATACCATATTGAACTCAAGCGAAGCGAAACTTGGATATTATAGCGACCCTACAGTATGTGCTAAATGTCACTGGATGTTACGCTGTTTAGAAACAATTTAAATTAGAGTGTATGATTTCCCATTGTCCGCGAATGCATCAGGATGGATGAGAGAGCAGGGGATGGGGGAGTGAGAGTGAGGGGTGAGTTTGTGTGAGAGCAGATGGTGAACGACTGGAAAGACTAAGGCTGCGAGAGAAACAAAGATTGTTTTTTTGTTTGTGTTGTTTTGGCGTGGTTACGGCCAACAGTAACGGCGTGCTGCTGTTGTCAATAAATGACAGTTCATTTGACTACTTCTCGTCATTATTGCATGTCTGGCAGAATGCGACTCTATGAACGTAAGAGCTGCATGGAACCGGTCAAAGAGACGCAAGGAACCGGTCAAAGAGACGCAAGGAACCGGTCAAAGACACGCATGGAACCGGTCAAAGAGACGCATGAACCGGTCAAAGAGACGCACCGGTCAAAGAGCATGGAACCGGTCAAAGAGACGCGTGGAACCGATCAAAGAGACGCATGGAACCGGTCAAAGAGCCGCATGGAACCGGTCAAAGAGACGCGTGGAACCGATCAAAGAGACGCATGGAACCGGTCAAAGAGACGCATGGAACGGTCAAAGAGACGCATGGAACCGGTCAAAGAGCCGCATGGAACCGGTCAAAGAGACGCATGGAACCGGTCAAAGAGAACCGGTCAAAGAGCCGCATGGAACCGGTCAAAGAGACGCATGGAACCGGTCAAAGAGACGCATGGAACCGGTCAAAGAGACGCATGGAACCGGTCATGCCTAACAGGAAACTGGAAAAAGAACATGTTGGACTTCCGAGAGGATCGTGACTAACAAAAAAATAGGGGAAGAGAACTCTGTATGCACATCAGTGAAGGTTGGTGTTCGAACTGTGGACTGGTAAAAAGCTGCTGCTCTGAGGAAACTTATGACAGTGAAATGTCAGCCTTGATATCTACCTTGGGAGTAGATATCAAACCAGTCAAAATGTAAATAATGGTGCTTGTCACCATTATTTACATTTCACCAGGTGGAAATGCTAATAAAACATCGAAGAAGCCGTATGACACCATTAGCTCATTGGAAATAAAACACCTGTGTTTCTTAAAGTTTTGTGTGGTTGTTTACTACGTGAAACTGACAAACACTCTCCCAGTTTTTACTACCATGTCACCTTTCCCACACGGGGAGGAAACACTCTGGACTGTGTGTACGCCAACATTCACGTTGTGTACAGAGCTCTTCTTCGCCCCCATGTTGGCCTCTCCAATCACATCTCCGTCCTGCTGGTTCCAGCATGAGACAGATTAGACCAAAGAAGAAGAAAGTCAGTGTGTGGCCCAAGGATGTTTGTGTGCTCCAGGACTGTTTTCAGGTTACAACTTGGCAGGTGGACCTGGAGGAATACATCTTTTCTGTTCTGAGCTTCATCTCTATGTGCTGTTGATGTCACCACCACAAGGACAGTAACCTGTTACCCGAACCAGAAACCCTGGCTGTTTGCTGAGGTGAGAGCTCTGCTGAAAGTTAAGGACACTGCATTCAGGACAGGGGAAGCAAGGAAAGAACTGGCTGCAGGCATTGTGAGGGGCAAAGCCACATAGGCCTGGAAAATTCAAGGTCACTTCACCACCAACGACCCCCAGTGCATGTGGAAGGGCATGAGGTGCATCACAAACTACAACATCAGGGACGCGTCATCAAGGACTCCATCAATATCACTCCATCAACATCTGAGTGCCTGATGGAGGAACTTGTGGTCCACACAGACCTCACCCAGCTGGAGAGCAGAATTCTTACATCCATCGGCTCTTCTTGAATTTCTCCTTGGGCTTCAACACCAAGGAGTTGAGCTTATTGCCACAGCACTGTGTCACAGGTCCAGCCTTTTCTTGTAGACAGCACCAGGGGGTAGAAGAGTGAGAGAAGTGACCGGTTGTTGTTGAGAGCTGGAGGTGATAGTTTATGGAAGGCAGCTGTATTTGTTTACCCTTCCAGAAGAGGAATAAAGTTCTTAAAGCATTCATCTACCTCCTCCTTGGTTTTGTTGAGCTTGTTACCAGCAAATCTGTGAGGATCATGTTCTTTGATTGGATGAGCTGAGGGATCTGAGAGATTCTAATTCTTGGTTCATTCTTTCTGTGAGAGCAGAGCAAAAATGTTTCCAGACTTGAGAAGTGAACTGGGGACCACGATCTTGTCTCGGTAATCTGGAGAGAATTCTCGGGAAAGAGCCTCCGGCTTGACATTCTTAGAATCTGGGCGATAAGAGAGGGAGAGGTTAAAGCATGAGAAATATAGAGACCAGCAAAACTGATGGGGTTAAGACGTTTGGCCAATTGGAAGTATGAGAGATTCTTATGATCAGTCCAGACCAACATAGGAAACTCTGTGCCCTCCAATCAATGAGGCCACTCCTCCAAGGCAAGTTTTATGGCAAGAAGCTCTCGATAGTTGCACTCGGTAGGGGACAATCTACGGGAATAAAAGGTACAAGGATGTTATCCGAGGATGATTGTGAGAGAATTGCACCAACCCCTGCATCAGAGGCATCAACCTCAAGAATGAATTGTTTCTGTGGATAACATTGAATGAGAAAGGGGGCTTTAGCAAAGTGGTCTTTGAGGTCAAGAAAAGCTGAATTGGCTTCCAAAGTCCATGGGAATGGAATCTTGGTAGAAGTGAGAGCAGTTAGAGGTGCTGCGGTCTGACTGTGGTTTTTAATGGATAGAAGTTAGCAAAACGTAAAAACCTTTGGAGTTGTTTGCGTGTCTCAAGTAGGGGCCAAACCAGAGTACTCTCCCTGGACCTGTGTACCTGTCCACCCTCGAGGATGTAACCAAGATATGAAATAGACGTCTTATGAAATTCACACTTCTCTGCTTTTACATAGAGATGATTCTTGAGGAGATGCTGAAGAACCAGGTGGATATGTTTTTGAGTAAATGAGAATATCATCTAAATATACAAAGACAAATACATTCAGGAAATTACAGAGAACGTTGTTGATCAGTGCTTGGAAAAGTGCAGGAGCATTACAGAGTCCAAAGGGCATGAAAGTGCAAGGGGAGGGCATAAAAGCTGTTTTGCACTCATCTCCCTCCCTAATAGTGGTAGGGGTTGCGGAGGACTAATTTGGTAAAGTGGGTTGTTCCATAAACAGGTCATAGCGCTGAGGAGATGAGGTAATGGATACTTGTTTTTTTGTATTGTGATCGGATTAAAACTCCTGTAATCAAGGCAAGGGAGCTGTCCTTTTTCCCCACAGCTCCAAGTGGGGAGGACAAGAGGCAAATGATTCCAGCTGCTAAGGAGTCACTTAGATATTTTTTCATTACCTCTCTCTCAGAAAGGGAAATGTTGAAAAGTCGGTTGGCGGGTAGGGCGGCTCCAGGAAGTAAATCAATAGCACAATCATATGGATGATGAGGTGGGAGATCTGGGAATATCACTCCCAGATTGTGATATTCAGGGAGGATGAGAGAGATCGGGAGGGTCAGCTCCATCAGGATCTGCCGGGCTGGAACCTGGAGGAACGGTGGACTGAAGGCAGGAGGCACATAGACCAGGATTCTATGGGTAAGTCTGACCAGTTGAGACGTGGACTGTGTGTCTGGAACCACTCGAAACCTAACACTATGGATGAAGGAGAGATGGGGAGGACAAAGAATGATATGACTTCATGATGGTTACCTGAGAAGATGAGTTGAACCTCGTGGTTCCAACATTACAGTTATTTTTGTAATATTTTGTAAATTTGTTGATTTTATTGTTTTAATGACTTATTTTAATTTAGAGTGGACAAGATATAATTGATTTGTGAAAGACCTCTGAAGTGGCAAACGGCCACCAGGTAACTTGTCGAAGCATGTGTCACCTGTAAGTGTAGCTATGTCTAAAGCTTTGTTTTTTTTATTTCTGTTTTTATGGCGTTAATAACGAACCCGTCAAAAGAAAGCCGTACCAGTGTGTTATTTTGTATGGATAGGGGAAGTGGAGACCCAATGATCCTCTCTGCTGTCTTCACAGAGACTCTCAGGCTGAGGCCTTGCAGATCCCAGACCAGATGGAGTCATTGCTGGTCAGCAGGTTCTCAATGGTTCCTCTGTAGAAGGTGGAGAGGATGGGGGTGGGAGCGAAGCCCTTCTCATTTGTCTCAGAAAGTGCAGGCGCTGCTGTGCCTTTTTCACCAGTAAAGTGATGTGAGGTGTCCAGCTGAGGTTGTCTGTAATGTGAAGTCCAGGGAGACCAGTTTGCATACCAGATCCTGGGGAATGATCGTATTAAATGCCCCTTATCCAAAAACAGCATCCATCTTCAGTCGAGTGATTAGGTTTGTATACAAACTGGAATGGGTCAAATGATGGAGGCAGTATAGAGATCATGTGACCCTTAACCACTCTCTCATGATGATAGATGTTAATGCAACTGGTCAAAAGTCATTAAGACATGTGATGGTTGGTTTCTTGTCTTGGGGACTGGAATAATAGCTGACTTAAAACATGAGGGGACAATTGTCTGGTGCAGAGACGTATTGAAAATGTGTGAGCACATCGGCTAGCTGATCTGCACGTTCTTTGATCAGTTTTGCTGGAATGTTGTCAGGACCTGCAGCTTTTTGTATGTTGACCTTCCCCAGGGATTTTCACACAGCAGATGTTTCAAGCCTGCAGGCCTGTTCATTAGGGTGAGGGTAGCTTTCTTTGCAGGGGTTTTATTTAAGGCTTCAAATCTTCCAAAGAAGCTGTTGAGTTCATTAAGGAAGCAAATGTCATCTTGTCAGGATGGAGATGTGTTTTTATAGTCAGTCACAGGCTGGATGCCCTGCCACAGTTGTCTGGTGTTTTTGACATCATGAAAGAAACCTTGGATCTTTTGACTGTAGGTATGTTTTGCTGCCTTGATGATACGTTTGAAATTGGTCCTTGATAATCTAATAGTATCCATGTCACCAAATTTGAAAGCAGGATTTCACTCTCAGTCTAGAATACGCCTCCTTTGTCATCCAAGGTTTCTGGTTGGCCCGTGTGACTTGACTTTGTTGCTGTAACCTTCTCCATACACCATTGGATGTAGTTTGACACAGATGCTGCATACTCCTCTACGTCTGTGTGTTGGTTGTGCATAGCGCCCTCTCTGAACATGTCCCACTCTGAAACAGTCCTGCAGTGCAGACACAGCTCCCTCAGGACACACCGTTACCTTCTTCACCACAGGCTTTTGTCTGGTGAGCAGAGGTTGGTATGCTGGGATGAACATAACCGAAAGATGATCTGAAGAGCCGAGATAGGGCCGGGGCATTGTTCTGAAATTGATATTGGTATAGACCAAATCCAGCTTGTTTTCCCCTGTGGTCGGAAAATCCACATGTTGATGGAAAATAGAACAGTCTTCATGTCAGCCTGGTTAAAAGCTCCAGCAACAATAATAACACCCTACAGTTAACTGGATTGTCTGTCACTGATGGTATGTATGGTAAAAGTTACTCAGTGCTTGCTTGGTGTTGGCATCTCACAATTATGAACTCAGTGTTCACAGAGCAATGACCGGAGGCCATTGTTACATGAGCTGTTGTTAATGTAAATACAAACACTACTTCCACTGGATTTACTAGTAAGAGCATGGCTCCTGTCAGCTCTTATTATATATAATTATTAGATATTTTATTTCAAATATTCTTTCAGGGGACATAAGGTCAGTTAACAAAAATAACATTTATATAATCCAAATTCAAAAAAAGAAAATAAAGAGATTGTGCAAATGCCTGTTTGAACAGCAGAGCATTCAGCTGGGATTTAAAGACACAGCGTTCAGAGTGGGGAATGTGGACGTTTATTCTAAATAGAGGAATCATGTGCATAAGTTGTACATTTAGAGAACAGATATGCTTTCTGTCCATACAGTAGCATTTACAAAGCGGGCAGCTCGACTGCATCGGTACTGCACAGCTCCTTCTTTAAGTTTTACTCAGAGCTCCAGGATGATCAGTCTGAACAATCCAACACTAATAAATCATCATCAATAGATCAATATGATCGCTGATCAATCGTTCCCTCTGAATCCATCCATTGGCAATGTTCCCCATCAGAGCCAAAGCAGTCCTCAGTTAGCGGCTCACCTTTGCACAGCTATTTATATACTTGTGATCACCTTAAAATAATCAGACTAACCTGTACAACTCCTCACTGGGGGGTCGGAGGTGACACAGGACAGAGGGAAGAAGGAGTAGTTTTTCTACAAATGTGAACTCCATATT